GTACTGTGCTTGTATTTTGTCTTCGTATTAGTGTAGCTGAAGAAATGAGTCCCCTGTTTTTGTCAAGGGAGTGGTTAATGAAAGTATGCAGACTATTAACATTAGCATGAAGTCATTTTGTTATAACTGCTTGTGTCATTTTTGCTGAGAGCTATCTTTGCTCCCCACCATCTCCCTGTCCATGCTCACAGAGTCACTGCACAGTTGAGGCTGGAGGGTACCTATGCTCAGAGCCTGATAGAAACTGTATCCAGTTGAGTTTCAAATATCTCCAAGGATGGAGAAGTATCGGAATTTGAAACATCTCCATAGCCTCCCTGGGCAGCTGGTTCATGTGTGTCTACCTCATCCTGTCACTGGGCACCACGGACAAGTGCCCGACTGTTGTCTTTGTGCTCCCACTGGATACTTATAAGCACTGATAATATCCTCTCTAGCTTTCTCTTCTCCAGAATGAACAGTCCCAGTTCTCTCCTCATCAGATGCTTCTTCTTAATCTTTGTGGCCTCTGCTGAATTGGCTCCAGGATGTCCATATTACGCTTGTACTGGGGAGCTCAGAATTGGGCCCAGCACTCCAGGTGTGAATCAACAGTGCTGGCTAGAAGGGAGGTGTCACCTCCTTTGATCTGCTGGCAACACACTAGATAAGCAGCCCAGGATACCTTTAGCCTGCTAAATGGCTTGTGGAATATTAGCTTGTTGCCCTGTAGGAGAAGATTGATGCTTCAAAGCCAAAACAATATGTCAGATCTGAGCATTCTTGTATTAGTAGTTGTGAAAACCCAAAGTAACATTCTATAATATTCTTACAAATCATCTTGAAGCTATGTAATACCTGAGTAAGAAAAGACAAAGTGCTACACACCACTTTGTGATTAGGTACAAAAGGCTAGAGCTGCTTTGGCTGCTGTTGCTGCTCCTGTAGTCTCCTTCTTCCCCTCTGAGCTCAGACCCATCACCCTACTTCTGCAAAGAAAGCCCTTCTTCATGCTCATCAGTGGACAAATGAACGTATGGTAAACATGGATTAGGGAAGTGCTTATAAAAATGCAGATTATTTTCTAAAATGTGGATCCTTTAGATAACCCCTTACAGCTTCTGTTAAAGGGTGAGCATACTGTATGCTTCTCATTACTAATCCTAATGATTTGCTTCCAAATTAGTTGTTACTAAATTACTTTTTTTTAATTATCATTTTTATGTCTGAAGACTATTCTAATTCATAATTCCCCTTTTGCACAGCTGACGCTAACTGAAGCTTCCTAATAGCTGACCCTATGTAAATAATATGGAATTTTCCTGTAGGACTCAGACACCTGCTAAAAAGATCTTTGGGAGAGAGATTGCTGGATTTGGAAAGGGGCTTGTGGCACCTTGTCTGTATAAAGAGTAAGATGTATTTCGTTTGCCCTGGAGAAGTAGAATTGTAATGTATACATAGCCTATACGAGACAATACATTCTGTAGCTTTCAGAAATTATCTAAATATTGCTTGCTCTTCTACTCAATGAAAACCAGACTTTTTGGCAGCAAATAGAGAACCACTTCAAGTGCAAAGGAAATAAAATTTAATAAGAACACATTACTTCGAATAATATACATATGTACATTTTTGTACTATAACTGCCTTGCAGATCAGTTTCTAAGATGGTAGATTAAAAGATACTGTTGCATTGAAAGAGTTAAAAGAATGATTTTAAACTTCAAATGTCTATTGCAATCTGACAAATTGCATCTATTACTTCTCATGGAGACCTTCTCTTGTAAAAATCTACTCCAATGAATAACCCATGCACGGTTGCTTTTGTTGTTGTTGTTGTTGCATTTTTTCTTTTCATTAAAAAAAAAAAACATGTATGGGAGGCATTGTGGTCTTGATTCCTCGGTGTCCTTCCCTCCCATCATTATAGTGAAATGCACAGGCTTGCATACCGCAATTTTTAAGCTGTCCGTTTGCTTTCTTGTAGCCGTGAACAAGGAAAAAAAAGTAAAAGTGAAAAACAAGACATATTCTTCAAGAAAATACCAATTAAAAAGCACCCAAAGTCTGAAGATAAGCTGGCGTAAGCCTTTGCCATTTTTAGAGTGGTTACATTTCCTTTCAGTAAGGAAGGTCAGTTTTGTATTTTCAGATGCTTTGGTTTCCTGTTCTGTGCCTTCATATACATCTAGGAAAGAACAGACATGATAATGGTTGTCCACAATGCCTTCTTTATTTATTTTTATTAAAAAACACTGTTGCAAACATATACCCAAAGCAGCAGTTCTAAGCACAAAAGGAAAACAATTCTTTAGCATGAATGAGGGTATATTTGGCTGAATTTTTACTGTGAACATTAAACGATCTCTAGTTTTGAAAGGTAAGACCAGTGGCAAAACATGTCTGAGCTACAAATAAATTATGCCATTAGTGCTAATACAGCACAGCACATTGCTGCTTTCTTGGTACAAATATTTTGAGTTCTTCATATATTTTCAGCAGTAATGCACTCAGCACCTGCTAAAGAGTCACAGGAATGTGAATTGTCAGTGCTTACGTACAAGAACTGGTTAAACTTGCTCGATGGCTTTTGCAGCCATTTTATGATCTCTTTCATATGTGTCATGGGTTGGCAATATGTGGAATGTTTGTTGTCCAGTTTGTCACTACTGATATCTAGTTTAGAATATGTGCAGGAGTGCATTTAATACAATCACTGAATATGCTGCTGCCACATAACTTCCTGTGACTCTCTCCCAGAAATAGAGCTCGGCAGTTTCCTCACAAACATATCTCATGTTTCCACTTCAATTCTTGGGAGAAGGGGGCAAACCTGCAAAATAATGTTGCATGTAGCAACTAATATCACTATAAAACCCAAAAGTGCCAATCCAGCTATTGGCCCAGGTCAGTTTTTTTTTTTTTTTAACAGTAATTAGATATTGAATCCCTTAGTTCAAACCAAGGGGAGTTTAAGTATTTAATTACTTTTCAGCAGCACTCTTGTATTTTAAGACCTGCAGCACAGTTAAACATCTTACAGTTAATTAGTGCTTAGAGGCATAGATGCATGTGTGTGTCTGAATGAAAAAGATGACAAAAGTGTAAGGAAAACTGTTAGGAAAAAGTGATTCCCAGAGCGTTCTGCCAACACTGTCACTGGGATTTCTATAGCAAGAGACAGAACATCAGCTGACACTGCAGACATCAGGTTCATAGAGAGGATTTGGACCATTTTCAGGCTGAAAATCTAGGCATTAAATTATGAAACCACATTTTTTACCTATTTTTCCATGATTTTAATTCTAGTAAAATTATGAAATGACAGCAGTCCCCGATAAGACTACTGAGAATATGAGCAAAATCATCACTTGCACAGGAGGAGACCTGTTCAGCTACCTTAACATCCATTATTTTGTTTTTTAAAAAGAGAAACCCATTGTCAGCAGAATGAAGGAAAATCCTCTATCATTCTCCATGAATGTAGCTGGCTACTGTACAGATGCCTGCATATCAAGTCCAAGGAGCCCATCCATAGGCAATCACTGCTTAGCACTACAGGAGTTTGGAATTACTTCCCCAGTTCCATTCTCTGTTTTGTGACGTTTTACTTTTTCCTAATACTCAGTGCTGAGGCATCCTGCTGCAAAACCAAGTATCGACTTTATTATCCTGATTTATTCACTAGTCAGAGTGCTTCTTTGCTGTAGATCAGGAGTTGGAAAATTCACAAGAGCAGTTTTTCTAAGTGGAGTCATTTACCCTTTATCATGTTCAGCAGCCCCCCCGGTTTTGTTAGTGGAAATTTTGCTCCCATACTTCTTTTGTAAAATCTGGTTAAATGAAGAGAGTGAAACGTGGCTATGCAAATGAATTCTCTACAACTACAGAATACTGAGTTGAAATCTGAACTGTCACAAAATTCAATTTGCCTTCTTTTTGAACCCATTTAGAAGAGTGATGTATCAGTGAAAAAAGTTGAGATGGGAGACATAAAATTAAGAAAAAAATATACTTTATGATTGCTATTTTTACACCTGATTTAAAAAATCTGATTGATACAAAAATGTCATCAGTAATTCATTATTTGCTTGTCACCAGTCAGCTTTCTTTTATAATCATGGTTACAAATACATAATTTAGATGCACAGTTGCAATTGTAACCTGCACATTTCTAGTAATGTAAATACTGAACACTAATGTTGTCACATACTCAGCCAACTGCTTAGTATATTTGAAGAATATGTGCTTTCAACCATTAAGAAACTGAACAGATAGTAAAAACATGGAAAATGTGATAAAATAGGGTTGTTAACAAATAAAGTCTTGTGAGCTATTGTTAATTCGCAAGGAAGACAGCCAAAATTCAGAGTAGATTTATGGCAGCTATACAGCCATGACAAAAACTTTACAGTATGTTCGCTATTCTTATGCCAAGAGGTACTACAAAGAAGGTGAACAAAACCAGGAGTACCAGCCAGAGTACTGCAGAACATTACTTCTTTTGCTCTAAATTATTAATTAAGACCCAAATTAAGACATCAGCTACTCAGATAACGAAGCACTGCCTGTTAGTATTTCTGTGACCATTGCAAGCAATCTTTGGTCATCAGTCAATTGAACAGTTTCAACACTGAAGAAAACCCCCAACTTTTTTTGGAACATGGCTGACAGGTCTTTGTCTGAAGATTTAACCTGCTGACTGGGAATTGCTCAGAACTCAGTGCTGTGAAACCTCTTACAGCACTTGGGAATTTTCCTTTGAAATGGTATTTGAAGATCTTAACTCTCTCTCTTCACACTTAGACAAAGGTGGCATGATAAAATTTCAGGCTAGAGTCGTGAAGGTGGGGGATTGTACACAGACCAGGGAAGGAATGATGTATCTTGCATTTTTTTGCTGCTTTCACCCTCTCACTGGAATCAACACCAGCCATCAGTGTGTGAATTGTTCAGTCTCAGTCGCACACGGAAGTCCTTGTCTTTGAGCTACCACATGTCTGCATACAGGTTATAACTTACTGTTGATGGTCCTGCTGCTGCGGATTGGGAATATGCTGAATGACTTCATAAACTGTACTAAGTACGTCCTGGCCTGGCGCAATGTCAGAGCTGTGAACAGGCTGACTTGAAACCTAAAAGTAGCAAAGAGTGTTTCTGCTGTAAGTACAAATTGATAAAAGTTCCACAGAAATAAAATTGATAATGTAACTTATCTTTTTTTTTTTTTAACAATGCTCTTCTCCATCAACACTTTGGGCACAGATGCAGAAGTTCATCCCTATTTGTTCACATTTTGTTCTGCAAGTTTTTGTCACATTATAGTAATACAAGTAATAATTTAAAATCAATTTGAATCTAAGAAGATTTAGGATGTACCTTTTGCATTTAATACAGCAACTACTTTATATTACTGTACCACATGTCAAGGAAGGAACAGTCAATAATCAAAGAGATAAGTAAGTGAATAAAGATTGAAAAAGGAGAAAATAGTCAGGGAAAGAGCTCAGGACAAAACTCCCATCAGAGTGAGAGAACTGTGAGAAATTCCCATTAAAGTAGTAATAATGATTTTTTTTAATATGTTACATATATGAATCAGTTCTTATGTCATCAGAGCATCTAGACTCCAAATCCATCAGGACTTTCCATTGTTCTTCTGCCTATGCCCAAATTCCAGTTTTTTATCATTTCTGTTTTTTTACTTTTCCATTTTCTGCGAATTAAAATGAATGTAAAATCAAATCCTGACTCTGTCGGCGTGCCACAGTTCTGAACAGCTGTTTCTTGAAATGGTGCTGGAGATTAGAATGAATTTCATTGCATATCCACTCTTTTCTGGTCACCCCTTCTCCCTGACCAATGCCCTAATTCTGCAGGATACCTAATAATGATGTGAATTTGTGGTATGGTCAGCCCTAGGGATGACAGGATGCTTGTGACTGGGATGATTTAGGGTCTGATCTTCTGTGGGCCAATTTCTTGTTTGTATTCATCATCTGACATCACATGTTACAGCTGACATTTATTTTTACAAACAATACTTTAAATACCCCCTGTAGCTTTTCTGAACTGCCAAAGTTGTATGTTGTATGAACAGCAATAAAGAAGAAAATGTCATTGCAACAATTAATTTGCTTGTAGGGCAGTGAGTGGTTTGGTGTTACCCATCTACCTAACACTACTCTTATTTTTTTAATGCGGGGTATCTGGATTGAGATTGTTCCCTCTAGAGTTTGATAAGTTCCCTACTGCACCGTGCCAGTACCGAACTAGTAACACAGTAAAGAAAGAACAAATACTACATAAACAACAGGGATGAATATGGTGTGATGAAACATCTGTGAAACGCAAGAGCAAGCAGACAAAACGACTAGAGTGCAGGTATTCACAGAAACGGAAAGGAAATCATCACTGTGATGTAAAATCACATACCCTGGAACTGCTGCCATGATCAGGAATAGCCACAAATTCATATATCCCAAAATCATCCAAAGCACTTTCATGTCCTAAAGTTAAAACAAACAAAAATGAAAAACATATCAAGATGTAATACGAAATTGAAAAAGTTTAAGTACGGATGGGAAACCACATTTCTCTAATAAAGGAAAATAAATGTGAATATTGGTTGTTTGATCTACTTTAAATCACTTTAAATCACTGAGCTGGCCTGTGATCTCTACTGATTGGGGATGTACACTGCCTGGAACCAAGCGCAGAGCTTCTGGTTAACCTCAGCAGCAACTCTGCAAGAGCCATTGGAACTGACTTTACTGGAAGTCTAAACAGACCCATCTGTTTTCATTTCCCACAGACAAGAAGCCCAGCACAAGCTCAGCATATCTTCACTGTAGTGTGAGACAGTTCCACCTGAATCTTGTATAATCTTGCTGATTAAAAAAAGAAAACATGATAAGTGAACATGATTGTTAAGCCACTTGACAAGTTGCATGTGGGACTTCAGCTGCAATTTGTAGTAGTTGGGGTGGGTCCCTTCCACCCTCATTAACTCGCCCCTCTCTAGCAGATCTTTTGACTCTCGTCTTTAGGCCATTACTCATAACACACATTACATATTGGAGAGAAAAGTGGGCACACAAGTGGTTCTAACCTAGTTTAACAGCTTGAGCTCAAGATAGCAGGATACAAAGTATATCATAAACTCTAAACAGGAGTCAAACCTACACTGACATGTAGTCCTTCAGGTTTTATCTTAAGAGAGATGGCATAGAAGTCTCTAACTCCAGTTAAAACCACTTCCTATCCTTTTACTTTGCATTTAGAGATGCCAATTTTTTGCAAGAATGAAATTTGACCTTATGCTCACATTTCTTCCATTGGCATTACCTGAAAATGTCTGTGCCTTTCTGTAGTCAGCCTCTGGCCTAGAAAACATAAACACATTTTTCAGTTTGGTATCAAAAGATAAGGGAAGAAAGTTAGTATGATAAAATTCAATTCTCATAGTGGAAAGGACTTCAAAATGTAAGAATGCTTTATTTTTGTACCTTCTCTGCAGCTTCTGTTGTATCACTGAAAAGAGCAGAAAAAAGAAAAATCATTCTTTATCTTCTAATGTTCCAAAAGAATAGCTGGAGTGTGCTTAACTTTTACATACCTTTAAGTGGCTTATATCTTTTCCATATGAATAGAAAGCTCATAACTAGGATCAAAAATAATGAAATTCCAGTTATTACTGCAAGAGATGACAAAGATTTTCCTTTCTGAGCCAATTTTTCCAGTCCTGTGTCAAAAAAGATGAGTACTGTATTTAGTCTCCTGTTCTGGATAAAGTGCTGTTATCACACTGATATATGCATTTTTATAAATCACCCTAAAGCAAACTCTTTAAAATTGTTCCAAGACAGCAACTTGAGCAAATGCTTTCATTGTCTAGATGGTACTGGTGGGTTAAATTAAGGTTGAATACATCACTTGCATATTTACAGTCAAAGGTCAGTTGACAATCGTGGTTTCCCCATTATTTCATTTATTTCCCTTATTGATGTGTTGGTGCTGGAGGAACTACATTAATTGATTCTTGAGGCAGATGAAATAGGTTTTATTTAGAAACTGTTTTTTCTTTTCCCAGGCACAAAATATTTCTCAAGAAGCTATAAGCACCAGAAGACTCACTGCTCAAACAGAAGAGGTGCCCTTCTTGTTCCAGCCATGGCACTGGGCCCACAGCCACTCATGAGCCCAGTGTGGTTTCCAGTAGAGCTTTGCTCCTGCATGCCAGTGTGAGATGGCCCTCAGGTTGGTTGGCTCTGCAATTTTTTTCTCAACAGAAAGCTTGGGAGTTCCCATGTTTGCAGCTTGAGTCTAGATGGGAAGGAGTTGCTGAGAAAACGTGACGTAAGAAAGCTCATGGTGTATTTGTTTTCAGCATGGCTGTGGAGATCTCACATACACACTCCCATACACATGGCTCCCTGCTGCGTTGTAAGTTAATTCTTCATACGGTAGCCCACAGTTAGCTAGATGGCAGGGTAGATTTTCCCTTCTGGCATGGCAGCAAACAGAAGGCAACAAGCTTCCTCATCTCTAGGATCCATCTCTAAGGTGGATTAGCACAATTCCTGTTCATAGCATACTGCCCACAGAACAAGTTCTTCTTCCTCTACCTGCAGGCTGTTAGGCCTTCCCAAATGGCTGGAGCCAGCCCTTTCTATCTAACTAGAGGTCCTAGTATTGTGTGTATTTCCTATTCCATGCATGAAAGGACAATTCGCTGGTCACCAGCACAACTCTGTTTGTCTCTTGGGTTGTGCTCTTACTTAATAACTAAAATGAAATATCTCACAAAGTGCAAATATCACAAAGGTGGTCGTATACAAGCAGTAACATTGTGGAAACCACATTGGACAGTCTCTTGTATTACAAACATATACCCAAGCTTTTCAAGTTTTTTGGTTTGTTTTTTTTTCTTTTCTGGATTGCTACTAAGGAATTACAATTACAGAGAGCAAGCAATTCCTAGATTGAAAATCATCACATGAAAACTGAGAATGCCTTTTTGGGGAAAAGAAAAAATCAGTGCAGACCGAATGCTTTACGACAACCGATAACTTTCCACTCTTCAGGTTGTTCAATGTGCAAAAGACATCACCAGTGTTTTGACAGGCACAAGTTGGTCCCTTATCCAGGATTATCAGGAGAGATAGAAGGGATGTGCAAGAATATTTACAGTCTTTGTTTATTATGTTTAATTCTATAGAAATTGTGTTAATTTCTAAGCAGAATGTAGCCTGGGCAGTATCACTGAGGTTTAGTCTGGTGGGTGAATTCACACCACTTAGGTTCAACTAGTGCTGCCTTGCAGTGTGTTGGCTCAACGTCTGGATTTAGTGCTATCTGAATGAATATCAAGAAGAAATGGCCGTAGAGGAGGGAAACTGACTTTTTGGAAAAGTTTTATTTAGGTAAAATATTTTTAATTAGGAAGTATGTGTTTTGAAAAGGGACTAAACATGAAGCTCTGGATTTTTTTCTTTTTGGACTTTGAAAGGAGAACTTGGATGAATTTCTTAATTCTTACTGATGAATATACTCATTCATATTGTAGCTGATATGAACTTCCTGGAGAAGTGTCAGTCTTATTTCTAATGACACATAGCGCTGTTTGCGTTTTCTTTCTCCTCTAACTCAATCTTTAAAGTGCAGCATTATCATTGCAAAATTGCAACCTGACTTCCTTTCAGCATATTGAACTCCATAGGTTTGTGATGATTATATATCAGCCAGAACAATGGACAATCTGCCTCCCTTGTTTACCTTACTAATAAATGGCTGAGCAATTTGTTCTGCACAAGTTAAGTTGCTTTGTTAAATTTTCTAACAGGCAATTGATTGCATCTCTTTGAACATTAACTTTATACAGTCCTTATCTGAAAAAAAGATCCTTATTAATAAGGGATATCAGAGTTTCTCAGTATATTGTTTATAGCTGTGTGCTTCTAGACGTTTCCTGGAACAGTGCCTTATTGCTGTTTAATGCAATCTGATGCAGGAACAGAGGTTATAAAGTATAGGAAATACAGGAGATGTTTAGTAAAACCTGGTAGCTAATTCACAGATTCTTAAATATGAAAGCAAAATAATTTTTACAAGCAGATTGTAATAAAATTATTCATTCATCATCACAGCTTGCATTATCATCCTACAGTAAACTAGGGCTCTTATAATACCTAATCACATAGGGAGTCTGTGGCTGCTTACTCCAGTCAGTGGTGTATGCTTGAGATTCTCCCATGCACTGATCCCTCTTAGCTCCTGAATGGCAGAGAATGAGACAGTGAGCTTTGGACCAAATCTGCCTTTGGGAGGAAGGGCTTGTCCTGGCATCCAAAAGGATTCTACATTTTCTCATTCCATAAAGCTCCGAATGGCTGAATATATTTCACTGTCAAACTCCTACAAAACACTGATATCTTGGTGGGTCTCATTTAAAGCTGTGACACACTGCAAATCCCACTTAGTACATTATTAGCAAGACTTCATACGTATGTTCTCTCTCTAAGAATAATTTCCTTTTCCTGGGCTGACAATCAGCTCAGAAGCTATAGTTACAGCCAGGAATCAATGTTCCTACCTGCAGAGGTAATGATCACTGTGAAGTGAGTCTCATCACGTTTTCCAGTCATGTTGTTGAAAGCGCGGCACATGTAATCTCTTGTCTTCTGAGCCACCGTATCAGACATAACTTCCAGGTGGGGTCCATATTGGATTACATGAGTGGTATTGTCAGCCCTTTGAATCCACGAGTAAGTGTTTGGTGGGTTTGAATCAGCTGAGCAGTCGAACAGTACGGCTTCCCCTACGCTGACGGTAAACACCGCTCCTACCTTCAGACCTTTGTCTGATTTGACTCGGAGTCCATAAGGTCCATCTGCATTGAAAAATATAAACCCAAAACATAATGGAAAAATTAAAATCAGACTACGTATTTAAATTTTACATAAAAGCACTTAGATTCCTTAAACTGGACTAGCCTTTAGAATGGCTGCCATTAGATTCAATTATTTCAATTAAAAGGCTTTCAGTTCAATCATTTGATCTTTGATCTCAGACTAGACTACACCTGCTTAATACTGATCTAATCGCTGCTTAGGGAAACAGCATGGGTCTATGTAGTGCTCAGTAATGTAAAAACAGTGGAGACTGAACACACTTGGAAAAGTTGTGAAGTAAAGAAGCAGGTCTTCTGGGGTATATTTGACCTTTTCTACTAAAATGCCAAACGTATCAGTGTAAGTCATTTATCTTCATATTCAGAAGAAAATAAAGCTCTGAAATACATAAATAGTCAGTGTAATACTTAGCAGTACAATAATAATTGGCACAACTATTCTAGAGGTATACTTTAGAATGGGGTGTGCCTTAGATAACTTCAATAAGTGACTGCTAAAATAAACTTCAACCTTCCCCTCTTTTAGTACATTTCAACTTCAACATCCAGGTTTCTATCAAGAAGAAGGCCTTGTGCCAGGTTTCTGAACATAATTAGAAGAGAAACATATTGTCCAGTAGTCGTGTTCATTACTGAGAAAATTGGGCTGCAATTTCTAGAGCAACCTTCATATGAAAATGGGAAGGGAAATAATATATTTAAATATGATGAGTATTTCCTATGTTATGTTTAGTTGATCATTTCAGATCCTGTTTTTTTTTTTCTCCTGTCTTTCCATGTTAAAATCTATTTTTACAAGGATCTGATTGTAAAAAAATGATGTAAAGAATATTTTTTTTTTCCAATTAGAGAACTCATTATTTTAATATTAATAATTCCCTGGGATTTACATGCACAGTCAAAAATGTACAGATCTATTACTGACAGATGCTGAAAGAAACCAAAAGAAATGATGGATGAACAGGTGGCTTCTCTTTGGTGAGATCCTTGGAGCTCAGTAAAGCTCAGTAAAGCTGCTGTCAAGTGACTCCAAAATGGCATTACAAGAAGACAGATAACTCAATATTATGCCAATTTTAATGTGATTGAGTAATATTTCCATCTTCCTACGGTTGTCTGTAAGCATTAAAACCACGTAGCTGGTTTTGAACTTGCAATGTGCTGCTGTACAAAGAGGAACACTGGCTTGTTAATGACTATTTCTTATCAGGAAATTCAGGCTGACATTAGTTTTCCTTGTAATATGTATGCTTCTATTGATTGTCCACCTTGTTTTATGAGGCTTGAAGAGCTCTTAAACAAGCTGCATGCAAGCTGTTTCCTGTGTGCTTCATTGTTTTTCTTTCTCTATTTGAGAAAGTTTAGGATAGAAAATGGAGACTGCCACACTCAGTTGAGTCAATTTTTAGCCAAATGTGCATATTTCACAACTTATAGTTGTCACGCTTCCTATTTTCTATGTTTCTGTTTTAGTGATATGCTTTTCTCAGTTTCATTTTAAGACTCAGCATCTGTCTAACATTTCATTGGGTGATGTGGATTCATGTCACAGGTGCCATGGGGAAGAATCAAGATGTTTCTAGAAATCTGCAGTCTTAGATGCAGAGCTTCTTGCTCATGGGTTCCTTAACATGAGTCGTAAATATGATAAGTGCTTCTGGAAACTGCAAAGCTGTCACCACTGCATCAGCTTAACTATCTGCACCCCACACGAAGAATTCTGTACGTGCAGAGCCTATACAACACCAGGTGCTATGAAAGGCCATTCCTCTTACCCAACTCTTCTGTCTGATACTAGCTTTTATTTTCACTGATAATATAATCTTTGGCAGATGTAAACCAGCTGACAGATCTCTTCGCTCCCTCATTATAACAGGAGATTTGCCAAAAAAGGATCAGAATTGAGTTCTGTTTTTGTATCAGTGCCCTAACTGTGCAGTGTGCATAGTCAGCACTAACAGTGTGACCGCACTTCAGTACGAAAGCTACAAATCAAAAGAAACAATGATAAAATCACCACATACTGGCTGTTGGAAAACAAAAAACCAAGAAAAACATAAAACAAAGAAAGGTTTTCTTATAAAATAGCCAAATCTTGGCTATGTCTGAAAAGCAACATTCCTTGGTGAAGTCCATCCCTGATGAAGGTACCATCAGATAACCCTTCTGGCACGGTCTGGCTCAGCCTGTTGTCTCCCCTGGACTGTGCATACATCACTGATCCCCACGCACCAGGTAGCAAAGGAGTACCCACAGCTTCAAGTGTGATTCCAAAAAGCAGATAATCAGCACCTTCCTCTCTGAAATTAAATATTTTCTGGCTACTGGAAATCTGAAGGAAGGAAATCCCACAATCTATTACATTCAACTCCATCACTGCACTGTGATGCACTGTTGCAGCCTCCATGACAGCAGTTTCTCCCACTCCCGAAATAATTTATTTCTGCTTCATGCTTCTGCAATAGCAATGTTCTATGCTGCATTATCGTCACAGCTAGTGGAGAAGGGGGACAATATTAGTGAGAAATGATGAAGAACAAAAAGCACTTTTGATTCTCAGTAAAAAAGTGGAGCACCTTCCTTCATGGATCACCCAGTTCTACTCCCTCCCCATATTGTTCTCAACAGTAATAAGCCTCTTGTCTCAGTGAGGCCAGTTAACTAAATGACTTGTAAAATAATAAATCACCTGTTCTTGGTAACAATTTACAGCTCTGTGGGAATATTTCCAATTGCTCCTATCTCCATGAGACTGCTGTAGTTTCTAAGCAGATGGCAGGTATTTACTGTGAGTGACCTTTCTTTTATCACTTACAGGAGCTCCCCCGCAGCAATGACATATGGCAGATGGGGATCCTGGGGCCAGTGGTATTGACAACTGCTTGTTGGAATACCTGACACCTCAGTAAGCAGAGGCTGGACTGAATTATGGGACTGGTATAGCTCAGGAGGTAAGAACCCCAACTCCCATCACAAATTTGAATATGGAATATGGATAGTAATGTAAGCACTGTAGTCCTTCAGTACTGAATTGTTTTCTATTAATATTTTTCCCATATTTTAAGTTATAAACAATGCAAACTACCAATTCTGATGAAATAAAAAGTCCATTCTAAAATGCATGTAGTAATATTTCCATACGTGAGAAAAAATTGAATCGGAGATATTTTAGTGTATCAAAATCATAAGGCAACAAAACATTTCAGAAATTGAACACTGAAGTAACTAATATTTTCAAGTTCTGCTCAGCAATGGGTTGAAAATAAGTTTTCATTTTGGAGCTTGGAATGATTTTTCAAATTTATGGGAAAATACGTATGGTTGAGTGAGGGAGAAGGGAGAACAGTGCAAGAAATAAGGCTAAGGGGAACACATCCTGTCAGTGCAAGTGTTCCAGGCACCCATCAGTGCAGTAAATGCTCCAGAGACAATTTTGCAAGCAGCAAGTCAGAAATCCCAATACCAAACATAGCAGTCAGAATGGTAGCAACAATGAAAGGTATTTTTCTAATCTGGTTTGACTTTGTTGCATCATAAGAGAGCTGTCAAGCTGTGCTGGCTGCAGCTTCCCCATGTTTTAAGGTAGGTATTCTTTGTAGAGAAATGTGTGTAAGGCCCTCTCCTAGCTCATGAAAGTGAGAAAAACAGACATTAAAGCAGATATTAAAAATATGCTACCTTGAGAGAAGAATGAGATTAATGTCATTATAATGATGATGATAAAACTCCATCAGTGCTGGTTATTTCCTTGTAGAATGTTTTATCATGATTTCTCTGTCCACAATGAGTAGAAACAGTTCATATCTACACCATTAAGGACTCTCTGGGGCAGCTCCTTCATCTTTGTGTCTGCAGTGCTGTCAGTTCTCCTAAGAGAGACTGACAGGTGCTCCTAAGAGATGAGTTGTCTCCTAACAACATCCTTGCTAGCCTTCACCATTCTGGGCAATGTAGGGACACCCCCTCGCACATACTTTAGATACAAGATAACTCCCATCTGATTATTCCAAGTTATAATTATAAATAAGTAAGTGGCAGAATGCATAACCTTAGAAGAAAGATGGAGAAAGCCAAGTGAAAGGTGTAGCTGGTAGTGTGGTGAGGCTGGGCAGAGGGCATGGGCTGTCTGCCCCACTACCAGGTTACATGGTGGGAGATGCAGGAGCGTGCAGCAGGAATCCAGCTCCACTCCTTGCACCATGCCATCCACGCTGTGCCAGTGAGGAACAGGTTATACCTGAACAGAGCTGATGGTGGTGGGTCCTGACCTGATCTTCAGATCCCTGAGAAAGGCACTTTGACTCTGAAGGATGCAAGGACTGAAGCCTGGCAAGGTCACACAGCTGTTGGAGGCTATGGGAGCTGACATTGCAGGAGGGGTAAGGAAAAAATGAAAGTGCCTTTTCTAAGATTTGCTGAATGTTGATTAAGCCAAGCCTTTTGTGTCCTCTAACTCAATTTACATTCATGAACTGAGTTTACATTTTCACTAAGTTCCTCAGGTGCTTTTGCACATCCTTTTACCGCTTCAAAAATCAGTAATGGTCTTTACTTTTAGCTAAATATAAAGTCACCAACTTGCTTAGAGATCATTAAGCAAACCTTAAAAGAGCACCAGCACAAACCCTTAAATATATTTCATAGCAGTGTCCTGCAGGCAATGATATGAGCCAAACCTGAGGCTCATATCCATCATAACCTGCTCATCATGGCCTATTACAGCCTATCTGTGATATTACTGCTCTAACCTAGATCCTGATGTTACTCATAGACACAGACACTTCAATGGCAACTTTTGACTGAAAGCATTATTCATATCCCTAAATTAAGCAGTTGAGTATCGACAGGATCATGACATTGAGTTATTAGATCTTCAGAACAGGAATCCCCAGCTTGACAGTTTTCTCATCCTCACACCTCTAGCCTAAATTAGCTTGTTGAAAAGCTATTTTTCACAGAGATTAGGTATATTGAACAAAAAAGGTATATTTGCAGAGAAACAATTTCTTTTATTAAGCCAATACAGCTAAAAAAAGGGTTTGAGGCACACAAATCACTCATTATCTGAAACAGAAAGTTTCAAACTAGATAGAGGATGGGCACTCTTTCTTGGCTTCTGCATTATCTTACTTACCTAAAAATCTCATTTCACTTACGTTAAACCATTACAGTTTTCTCAGCACTACTTACTGGAGGACCCGTGTAAATCAGCAGTAAACAACAACAAAATAATAAATGAACCAAAACCTAAGTTGTCTCTGTATTTTGTAAGCATATGATCTTAAAATGACATGAATGAATCCTTGGGAACATAGGCCTGGAAGGAGCATTTGATACCACTGAATTCAGGCTTCTGCTACAGTAATGCAACACCGCATGAATCCCATTCATACAGTTGTCAGCCCTTAGCAATAGCAATGCGCACAGCTCTTGCAAAATCTCATTACTCCAACAACTGGAAAACATCTAATTTCCAGTCAAAATATATGGTTGCCTTACAGTTTATTCTTCAGTCAACATAAATCTTTACATAAATCTTTCTCCCTCGTGTTTCCCACTTTATATGAAAAGCAAACACCCCTTTCAGAGTCTGTTTTCTGCAACCAAACTGAGTTCTCCTGGCCTGTTCTCATGAATAGGATCCCCATTCCATTTTGTTTTGTTTCTGTACAGTTCAAGATTATTCCTCTGGGTAGTGTAGGTACTGAATATAGTATTCAACTTGTGATCTCATCTTTTTTATGCCTGAATGACACTGCCTGTTAGATGTCTTTTGATGAGTTCAATCAGGCAGATACACTGCCTCGGTTATTGCCATGCAAATCTCCATCAGCAGAAGTTCATGATTTTTTTATTCTGCAAGTGCATGTCCTTTTAGTTTTTAACAGATTTCATACCAATTCTATTACTCTGTTGTTCAGACCTCTCAGGTTATTGTCACAGGTAAACTTCATTGACATACTCCCAGTCTTTTGATATCAGTAATGAAAGTATTAGACAGGATTGGACTCAAAATGATCTTGAGGAATACCATGAGTAGCACTCCATCAGCCTGATGCTTCCTCCACTCAGCTTCTGGATACCTTTTTCTGTCTCTATTTTAATCAAATTTTTCTGTATATAATTCTGATTGCTTTCCTCTGACACACCCCTCCTCCATATTTGAAGATGCCCATGTGGAACACCTGAAATTCATATGTGGATTCTGCAGTTCAGACTGATCTTCACAACAATGTAACGCTGAGAGAACTTTTTATTACACTATCATAAGTTATAGCTGCTACAAACTTATTTTGAACGCAAGCTCACATATAATGTTAACTCAACTGTCTTCTGTCTCTTTACCTTAGTCAGAGGCACTCTTTTCAACCAGATCATTTACACAAAGGTAATTATGAATATTTCATATACTCACAATATATCGTTGGTGCAATTCTCTCACTTTCCATTGCACTGACAGGGTTGGACACCAAACAGCTGTAGTTCCCAACGTCTTCTTTTGCAACAGGAACAATTAGAAGCGTAGCATTGTTTGATGAAAAAGTATAATTAGGGCCAGCATGGAGAGGCTTTCCATTTTTCATCCACTGGTAAACTACCCTTGTGCCTTTTCCCACGGTACATTTTAACGTAATATTCCCCACGTACTCCACTACCCCTGAAGATGGCTCAGTGTGCACAATTGGCTGTGTGACAGGTACTATAAAAAAAAGAGATATGAAGAGTTATAAAATTGACTGCTAGTACATTACAGTCTTCACTGCCAAAATGACACAAATAGTAGCCATCCTCCTCTCTGGAAAGTATCCATATTTCAAAGTATGTTTATTAAATATGGTTAAAGAATAAAAAAAAGAAGGTTGTATTCTCATTTGGTAAGAATTTTCCCAGTACTTAAATAAAGCTAGACTGTTTATATTACCGGTTATATGACAGAGGCTGAGATTGGGTATATCATATCATTGCTTCCAACTCTGGTCTAATAAACAAAACCCTGCAGCCACAGCAGTGCAGAGAGTGGAATGGGTGATGCTGCCCACAGTGAGGGATTTCCCCAGTAGTGCTGCGAGGCTGACACTGTGACTGAAACTCACTGCTGGCCAAGTCATGGAGATGGCTACTGCCTGGCATAGACATGGGAGTGAAATGGCAGCCACAACTGTATCACATTAATGTCTCTTTCATTTAATTAATTCAGTCTAACCAGGGTCAGGGCTCCCTCCATATAAACCATAAATTGCAGTACATTGAAAATTGATACATCCTGTCTGATAACATAGCAGAGCCTTATGAAACATTATTTCCTACATTTCTCATATTCGTCAATGGTTTTGAAACTCCTTAGGTGTTTTTTTTTTTTTTAAGTTCAAGAAATATTAGTTAACAACTTAAATTTGTTTGAAGGTGACATACTGTAGCATTCCCTCCAGCAGTAGAAAATAACATAACTCAATTGTTGGCACTTATTTGTGCATGGTTCGATTAAATAGTGCACTACTATAATTGGATTCCAAGAACCATTACTTCAGAGCTATGTAAATTTTATTTTCAAACTGAAGATGCTACATTTTAGTAACTTACCATCAACAGCTACATGAATTTTTTCACTGGCAGCTACTGTCCCATTCCCACGAACATTGACTTTTACAATATAATTGCCTTCGTCACTGATACGTAATGGATTGATCATCAAAGATGCATTAGGTGGTATGAGGGTAAACTTGTGCTGATATTCCAAGTCTGGTACTACTGTTTGGTTTACAGAGCCAAGCAGGTATTTTGGATTACTCCGAGGCTTCTCAAACAGCCAAATTATCTGGATTTCACAAGCTGTAGTGCTGAAATTGTAGTCAACAGTGAGCTGGAGTGGTTGCCCCTCGATACCATGGATAGTATGAGATGGTACTGTCAGCTTCAAGGCAGAACAAATACCTGCATAAAAATGAAGGAACAAACAGATACACCCAAAGCACTAATGGGAACATTGGAAAATGGAAATGAGGAACTCTCACAAAGAAAAAACTCTCGGAGTTAAAGCTTAAACTTTTTTATGATTATGTTTCAGATTTCAAGTAAGAAATGGGGAAATGCTCGTTGACTTTATTGGAATAGGATTTAGCTATAGATACCCAGCTTCAAAGTACATAAAAAGCCAAACCTGAAAGGATATTTCTGATTCCTGGTTATAAAAAACTGTTGAAAGTTTGACAAAAATGAGGACAGGTGAATTTACCTTAATGTTTAAAATATTTTCATTTTAAAATATTCTCAGGTTGCAGAGCTCGTATTGTCTATACAGTCTTGGACTACAAGCTCAAATTTAGGACTTCTTTTCTTGTGTTTATCCAGAGAGAATTTTCTTAATGTTGCTTTTCCAGCTATACTGAGAAACCATCTGAAAAATCTAACAAGGCTCACTTTCACAAATTTCCCTCTTTGAAATGATATAGTTATTATTACACGCACCTTATGCTTCAGACAAAATTCAAGAAACATAACTTAATTCTTAATAAGAAACATAATAATCTTGCAAAAAATATGTATTTGGATCATAGGAAAAAGAAGAATTGAGGTTTTCTGTTGATACATACAAAAGCAGATCTCCAGTCCCATGATGAATCCTGTCTTCTAGGAATCCTGCACCTTCAGGGTGCAAAATGGCTCCCTTTAACTAGTCTGGCTTTCCCTTCCTTTAGAATTGTTTTTTCTTTTGTCACCCTTAGGCAGATTTATAGAACATTACATGAGTTTGCTAAGGAATCTCTGGTCATATTCTGTTCATTTAGCAACTAGTAAGGTTTATGAAAATGACAAACTCCAAAAATATGAATAATTTTGCCTCACTCTTCATACAACTGAACAACACAAGTCAACTAGGAGGGCTTGCAGCATTGCCAAGAGTGAGGAATTAAAAAGGGAAGCAGCTTGGTGCAGTCCCATGGTAGAATGCTATAGGGGCAATGTGTGCAAAGACGTTTAACCTCCTGAAGGAAATACCCGACTTCTTGGGAACTGAAAAAGAAGCAGGCAGAGAACTTCAGGTTGCATGGACACTGGTGTGGGGAGAACAGCAAGGAGTCAGCTGACATGGGAGGAGAATGGGATAAAAAGGAAGGAAAAGGGTAGAAAAGATACAGAGATACTTAACTGGAGGATGCACAGGAGCATGGTGAGTGCATGTGTAACTTTTTTAGATAAAAAACCTGAAGCAATTGAAGCACATCAAACGGAAACCTCTTCCCCTACTTCTTAAAGTATTTGTGGCCTGTTGTTCTTGTGCAGTTTTTGAAATGCTGTTTGACTCCAAGGGACGAGCTGACTTGTTAATGGAAGATGAGTTGTTCTAATATTTAAGAGAAGTGAGTTTTCTTCCTGCAAACCTTACAGTGCAAATCAAACTTCCACTTGAGAGAATAATTCCTCAGTAAAGCCCTTCACAAAATATTTAATGGTGAAAGTAAATTTTATATAAGCTACCTAACACGTTCCAATTTTTAAATTTCCTTAAACAAAGTAAAAGAAATCTCTACAAATACTGGGAAATCTGTAAATGATTGATTAAAAGATCTGGCCATATTGTTCCTCATTCCTTGCACATGACAGTGCTCAATTTTGGAGTTTCTCTAGCTGTCAGTAAATGATTGCGTCGTACGACAAGAAGCCAATAAAAGCAGCAGTGGTAAATGCAAAATATGTATAACAATTGATATTTCTTACAGATCTGTGCTGAAAAGTATCAAAATCCAAGCAGGTCTAGTGAGTAGAAGGATAACAGTGACTATCAGAACAAATGCTGTTGCCATCACAGAAGAAGAAAAAGAAACTGGTGGCTAAATAACTTAATTTCTTCTGAGTTGAAAAAAAAAAAAGGGTGTAGGAGAGAGAAACTGTAAATAAACTTGTGGGAAAAAGTGGCTCCATTCAACAGCATGGAAAGACATTGGGAGGTCAGTTAGGAATTTCTTTCAGCAAAGATGAGGGAAAGTGAGGGAAGAAGCCCCATTTTTTTCCCAGCCAGAGGACTCCTGCCCACTGGGGAGCAGCTCTGGGTGATGGCGGGTGCTGCTGTCTCCTGAGGCGGCTTCACAGAGAGCCACTGAGGCTCCAAGCCAACACTAGAGAAAGGCACTCTGACAAAGGGCTCATGGCAGCCGTGCTGGGTGACTGCTGCTTTAACAGTGATCAAATCTTCTATGCTCTGGAATAGTAGACTTATTTTTTGGATATAAGAAGCCAGTGCGACAAAATGTACTTCTTTCTCATCAGGCACAAATTCCATACAACTCAAACGTATCCCTTAGCATTCTAAATAGAACAATAGATATTTTTCAAAGAGTACAGAATTCTGAAAACTATTTTTGTACATTGCCCATAAACCAAGAGGTGGTACAGAAATGACCTCCACTTGGAGCCCAGTGATCTGTGTTTTCTTCCATCTCACTTTGCTGCCACCAGTATTAGCAAGCACAACTGGATTACTGTTGACATAAAACAAGGGCTGCAGCTTTAGTTTAAATAAAAACTATGACATAACTTTTGAGTTTACTGCATAAACTGAAACCTTCTTACTGAGGTTTTATCATTCCCCGAATTTAAGATGCACATCTCCTTATCGAAGTGAAATCAGACCCTCAGTCACATTTTACTTGAGTGATCACTTAGCTCCTTAGCACTCCAAAACCCCTGAACTTGTATACAATGTCACTGGCAATAGTTTCCAAACTTTCTGCAAATATGTCAATTCAGAAAAAAAAAAAAAAAAAAAAAAAAAAAAAAAAAGATAAAACGGACTAAAGAATAATCTGCTATTCCTCTACCACCGTTTGCAGCAGAAGGGATTAAGGCATATTCTTTCCAAGTTCGGAATTTTTGTCCAAGAACAAGCTCTACCAAGCTTCATTATTTGACTTAACTCTGCCCTTGGAGGTCAATTCCTCTGGTGTTCTTTGTGTCGTGCTCCAAACACCTGATTTTTGTCATGATAAAAATGCAGGCTGTGCATTTTTCACACTAGGAAAGGTTTCTATCTGAGTAAGACTGTAAGATGCGATTTTCTAGTGAACAAGGATGGCCTTCCGTGTGCATGCCAATATCTCTTTTAGAATCTTAATCAGAAATGTTCAACAATCTTGTAATGGAGATTAAGAACTGAATATTCATCATGTTCTTATCAGACAGGTATTTCATTTTTAAAGTCTGATAATCTTCATTAAAAACTGCTATGGCTAAGAAGCCAAAGCTGTTGACAATGTGCTTAGCTCAAAATCAAGGAAACTAAGTGACTGTATGTAAAGTTCGTGAAAAAGATAAAAGAAAAATTGACAGAAAAGTATGTAGCATATTTGCAATGTCATATATTCCCTCTGTTGATATCTTTGAAAACAATAAAGTATATAAGAAACAAATTACAAGACTTTGTAGAAATACAGCTTTATCTAACCTTTGATCAGAGAATATTCCAGTAAAAGAGCACAGAAATCTGCTTTCTATCAAGTGTACCGATAAACGTATACTTATGCTGAATCTACAACCAAATGCTGAATAATTCTACTGTTAATGTAATACTTCTTCAGTCAACTTCAGTTGACTGAAAGATTAATTTAATTTTAATACAAAATTCATCAAAATATAAACAAATTTTAGGTGTTAAATACGAGGCATGATAGTGAACTGAAAAACCTATAAACACTGTAATAACATAATGCATTTTTAAAGAGATGTGTAACATCTTCTATAGAAACTTTGTCTCAGAATCTGTCAAGTCTTACTTGTTAAAAACAATGCAGTATGCATATACTGCTTAACAAAACAGGAAAAAAGATATGTAATAATGCCAATGCTTTATTTACAGATTACGTGCAGCTTTAATTTTTGTCAGTTTCTAAAATTTTCAGTTCCATCCATAAAACATTTTATCTGATTAAAACTTATAGGCTACTTTCCTAGAATAAAGTATCTGACAATACAAGAGAAATATCTTAAAATTTAGGAGTATAAAAACAAGTCAAATTTCCACAATGACATTCAAACATAACACATGCAATTCCTTACCTACAAGCAGAAAATACACTTGGCACTTTAAGTCACAAAATAAGCTGGCTAGAGGGCTCCATGAAAGCATCCTGTCCCATACAAACACCACCTTCTTCTCAGTGCTAAGTCGGAGCTGGGACCAGCACCTGCTGGTTTATTTGCTAGGAAAATCAGCAACGAGTTAACAGGCCCTATCCTGTCCCCAGCCCTGTCTGATTTGAATATGTGTATACACAGAACAAAGGGAGTGGAGCACCTGTTAGATGAGCACCCATCTTCATTGCCTCTGACTTCACTATAACCCTTCCCTAGCAGCCGCAGTAAATATGACAGAGAATATAATAAATGAGCCACAGAATAATACAGAGTACCTTGAATTATCAAAAATATGTGAACACTCCCAACAGATAGGTTATATAGGTACTAACATCCTTTAGTTACACTGTTTTATAAAAAAGACTGTGCTGCTAGATGGTTCTGCTCATTCCAAATTAGTATGTAGTATTTGGTACATTAGTATTTAGATTTTCTTTTTTTTTTCTTTTTCTTTTTTTTTTTTTTTTCAGGTGAGAACTTTTCCATTGGTCTCTTCTTTCCTTCTATTTTTTAAAGAAAAATATTTAAAAAACACAAAGCTGTGACTAAATAGTTATCATTTTCTTCCTTAACATACGTGTAACAGGGAAACAATTTCATTCCCCTCCTCTGAGCAACTAGTAATGTGAAGTGTCAGGAATCATCTAACAAAGACTCCTGTAGTAGTGTGCACAACCCACTAGAGCTGTTAAGTTAGCTGCTGATTACTGTTTATTCTGAGCGAACTTACATCGGTTTAATATTAATATTAATGTATGATTTGGATTTTGTCCAAGGCTGCCACTCACTGTACAAACCTAATCAGCAGCACACCAGACAGCCCTCCTGCAACTTGCATGTGCAGAAACAGTTTGCAACAGCAAATATCTGCATCAACAGAGATGGCTTATCCACAGAAAAACACACGTTAAGTTTTTGTTACGCAGCACTTACGCTGTTACGGATGAACAAATTCCTGCCTTGTGCAGGATGGATGGCAGCAAGGAACTGATCCCCCTCACTGTGTGCCTGTGCTGGTGCTCGGGGTCCTGCAGAGTGCTAAGCCACTGCCGTAAGGAATGAACGTTTGATTTCTGCTTCAGTTAAAAGGAGGTGAAAACATCCAGACCCTTCCAGAATTTTTACCAGCTCTGTATGACCAAATGTAATGCATGTTATTTCAGCAGTCCCAGCAGAAATAATGTCATTGCCTGGCACAAGAGTGCAGATGAAGAGAGCACTGTGCACATCCACAAGGGCTCCGGGTACCCCCTGCCCTGCCTTCCCCAGGGCTGTTGTTTGTAACCTGTTTAATCCACTTCGCTGCAGTCTACATGTATCAAATGGCAACCTTTTATAAAATGAGTTAGAAATGATTATCTACTCAGTTTCATTATGTAATAAAATATTTGTCATAGATTCCAATTAATTTCTAACTGAAATGAATGGGAGCCTTCTCACTGGCATGAAGTCAGTGCTGGTGTTCTAAACATCTGATGTGGGTGAAGAAAATAATAAAACAAACAAACTCTAGAAGAACAACAGATTAGCGGAGATACGTATTTCAAGTCAGTACCTCCCCTTATTTCCAGGGTATGTCCTCAATGTTGTTAATACACTGGCATTTATTACACCAAATAGCTCACACAAAGCTACCACAGACTCACTGAGTGGCTTAGGTTGGAAGGAACCTCTAAGCTCATCCATCTCCCACCCATGCCATGAGCAGGGCTGCCCCCACCAGCTCAGGCTGCCCAGGGCCCATCCGACCCAATCTGGAGCACCTCCAGGGATGGGGAACCACAGCTCTCGGCCAGGTACCGACACAAGCCCGTTTTGGCCATGCGGAACTGCATTCTCATTTTGTCTTCTAGCAACTGATTTCAAAGCCTAAATACGCCGTGCTAAAACCCCCAGGGACACACGTGGCGTGAGAGGAAGTTCACCCCATCCCCGAAAGGACACGCTGTAACGACGGGCTGACGGCAAGCCACACTTTCGGTGACCCGCTTTAACGGCGCCCTTTAGCGGCACCCGCAGCTCCCACCCAATTCCCCATCTGCGGAATGAACTGACGTCGCACCCCGCCCCGCTCGCTGCGGCCCGCCTTCCTCCGCGTCCTCCCTCCTTCCCCTGCCGGGCCGACGGGGTTTGTAGTTTGAGGGCGCCCGGCCGCCCCAGGACTACGGCTCCCAGGGATCCGCGGGCGGACGGGCGGGCGCGGTCAGGTGGCGTCCAACATGGCTTCCCCGTGCCGGCCCCGGCCGTAGCGCTGCCGCGGGGGCTGCGGGGCGCCTCGGGGCCGCCATGCAGAAGATCAAGTCGCTGATGACCCGGCAGGTGAGCGGTGCGAGGCCGGGAGCGGCGGAGAGCCGCGTTGGTACGGCTGTCCCTTTCTCGAAGCGTGATTTTGGGGGCACCGGGCCGCGGCGCTGCGACGTGGCTTTGTCTGTCGGTCGCGGCGTGTCCGGTGGGAAGGGAGGCGAGGGCTTGGAGCTGCTGGGGGAGCTGTGCGGCGGCACGGGGCGGCTGGGCTGTCCGTCGTGCTCCTGTCAGCCCGCCCGGTGCGTAGCCGTGCGTCCGCGTTGCTCTGGGCCTGGGGGCTCCGCCTGAGCTCGCTCTGGGCCCTGTGCCTGCCGAGGGAACTCACCGTGACTCTGCTCCGGGAGTGATGCGCTCACCTCAGCTTTTCTTGGCAGAACTCTGTCCCGAGGGCTTTGTTTGGTTCTGGTTTGATTGGCTTGTTTTCATTCAGGAGCCATTTAGAGCCCTTTTCTATGTCCGGGTCCTGTCTTGTTTGCATTCTGCACAGGATGCAGTGCTGTGTCCGTGGGAGCACTTGTGGGAAGGCTGCCCAGCGTGGGAATGTTGTAGGCTGAAAATGGTACAGCTTCAGCAATTCTTAGCCTTTGGGAAAGGGTGAAATCCTGTGCAACATTCAGCAAGGGCAGGTTTTAACTGGTGATGGAGATGAGCTTCCTTTACTGCCAGTTTTTGGGGTGTTTGTGGGAGGTTTTGATTGAAGTATGAGAAGCTGCAACAGGTGCTTTGTGCAGTCTGCTATCTGCCTTGAGCTCCAGTTCCGTGGTGATCAGCTGCCCTTGCTGGTAGTAACTGGCAAGGGAGGATGTTGTCAAGTGAAGCCCAAGAAAATCTGAAACTCAAAACCAGAATGAGGAGGTTTTGCTTAGTAGGGGGATGAAATTGTGAAGTGTGGTGGCTACCGCTAGTGATGAACTTGTAAAATACACTCTCAGTTTTGGAGAATAAGTAAAGAGTTTTCTACTGCAAGCTCGTGTAGTAATGTCATAGCTCCTTTGCCTTCAGAGAAAGCATTGGTACCCCAGGTGTGAAAGGGACTTATGAGTAATATGCTTAGTATCATAGGGGGAGGATATAGGGAAGCCTGCCTGAATCTCAGACATCTCGTGAACTGCCTGGGGTCTCAAAGGAAGGCTGGAGTCAGAAACATATCTGGAACTTGAATGTTCAAGTTCACTTCTGTTTCGAAAGCTAGCAAAAAGTGTGCTAAGAAACTTTTTGTTATTGCCTCATGAAGTTGTAAATGTATTGGACATTCAGCAAACACTTGGCTGGTTACAGATGCTTCCTGTAGCTTCTGTCTACTAGTGCATATTCTGTTCATGTGATTATGTGCTTTTGAAAGAATAATAATTATTTAAAAGAGCTAATGTGAATTATGCATCTTTTTCAGTTTAGTTATACATATGTAAAATGTGTCCTAATAATTTTACGTGGTAAATTGAGAAATATGCCATCATACAAAAATAATATAATTATGCCACAGAATAGATAGAACTTACCTTAAATTTGATTATTTGATTCCGTTAAATCATTAAGCTAGGGGAACAAATTACATTATGCTTTTTGAACGTTTGCATTTTTAAAACATCTAGAAGTTGTCAGGAGTAAGTGGACTTAGCTGCGTGGATGTTACTGAAGAGAACTGTTGCAGCATAAAACTGGAAATGCCTAGTTGTTTGAGGAATGTAATTTATACACCAGTGGTCTTATTTAAGTTTTTATAGAATAAGCCTCTTGCAATTTATTAAAGGACTTCCAGGTTTATAATCATCATCAGCAGGCGAGAGTTGTGCAGTTTGATTGCAAGATATGTAAAGTAAACAACATTAACTGATGATTAAAATTCTTTTAAAGGGTCTGAGAAGTCCTCAGGAGAGTGTTCATGACCTCAGTCCTATTGAAAACCTCCGTTTTCCTACTAAGGTATGATCCCATCCACTTCAGTTTTCATTTTTCATTTTATATTTAAATAATATATGTTTTGGTTTGGTTTAGTTTGTTTTTTTTTGGCCCAGAATCTGCTTTGCTGCTGTCCTTTTTGACATCTTTATTTCATCCTGAATATCTCTTGAAATATTTGTATGAAAGAATGTAATTGCAAAGTAAAGCAGTGCACCAAATCAAAATGAAGATGCTTTACAATTTCTTTCTTGGAACTTCAGAGTTATCACTCATTGATTTTCAGTCTCTTCGTGGGTTTGCTGCCATTAAGTTTGTTTCGGAATTTTGTGATTTTCGTCTTCAGTATACATCACTAACTTTATATTCTACTGTATTTGTTATAACTTTATAATAATAATGACTTTGTTTTCATTTGTCTCGCTGCTTAAAAGATATGAGCTCTCTGTTATCCCACATTTTGGCTGCTTTTTATACCCTGTTGGTCTGACCAGATGATTCACAAGACTTGCTGTGGATGATGCTTATTGTTTTCCTTTAATATGGACTTTGCCTTTAACCACAGAGTTAACTAAGTTATTCAGTTGATGTCTTATTAAAATCCTGTGTTTCTGTGTAGGTACTTTGTAATATGATGCTTGTGCTGGGGCAGACCAGAAAATCGGTGTTATTCTATGTTTAAAAAATCTAATAACTATCTCTAAATTGGTACATAATATTCTATTAAACAGTGGTCAATGTATTGATTTCAAAGACTCGAGGTATTCAATTGCAGTGGTGTTGAAAGAACTGCCTTGTCTCTGTGGCTCAGATTTCAAAACTCCAGATTCCTGCCAACTAGTGAGCGTCGAATTTCAGACTGCCTTTCTAGCCAAGTTGATTCTGCAGGTAAAAATAGATGTAGGGTATCTTGGCTGGGTTTCTGTTCTGTGACGGTTCAATGTTTTGTGTCTGGTAAGCCTACACTTTGTATTCCTAACAATGGGAAAACACATCTCAATAATTTGCAGGTTTTTTCATTAATTTCTGTCAGATTTCTGGCAGTTGTATGCTGTCAACCCTTTGTAACATGACAACAGTCTTGCTGTTTTGCAAACAATCTCATGAAAATTAGGGATTTTGTGCCTGAAAAGACAGTATTGCAGCAACATTAGAACTTGGAACTTTTTAAAAGTTATCTTGTGTGCTGTAGATAAAACTTATATTTTTAGTCTTCTATTGTCTCTTTGTTTTTTTTCCTTCCAAAATGTTTTAGGTGAGAAGTAACTATTATACTCAAAACTTTTTCTGAATATTCAGATTCTGACTATTCTGAGAGATTTAAGTTAACTTTCTTTTTCTCAAAAAGCTGTATTCAGTGGAACACCTTCACAGGTCACTGTTGATCTGATAAAAAGAAAACATAGGGTCAGCTGAATGTTGAGTAAAAATACTGAGTTTTGATCACTTTCACTCTTGGTTTTGGTCCCAAGCTGTTTGTCAGCTTCAGTTCCAGGCCTCGCCTTTTGAGAGGAATTATGGAAGGATTTATATTGGCATGCCTCTTTCACTTTGCTACAACTTTCATTGTATGATTTTACTTTTCAAATGATAAGACATCAGAGGAGACACTGTAAGATGTCTTCTACCCTATGGACACAGATTCTGATACGTGTTCTTGAAAGCAGGAATTTGTGATTTGTTTGTGTTTGGTGTGTGCATAACATTACATCAAGGAGATTAGGCTTCAGTACTGCACAGAAGTTGAAAGTCATTGAGACCTTGGATGTGGGTATTTCTTCTGAACTGAACTTGTGTTTGATACCATAGCAACATACTGATGTCACAAATCAGAATTACATAATAACTACAGGATAAAGCAGCTTTGCTGGATTAAACTAATCCTTCTCAGTAACTCTTTTATAGCAGTCAACAAGTTTGGTAAAGGGAATTGAAAGATAAAGACAAATATAAATTCAAAATAAAAAAAAAAAGCACAGATACAACTCATGTGAAGGTTAGATGGAAAATGCAGAGGACAGGCAAAGGGATACACTCATGTTGCGTTCCCTCAGGGGAAAGCCAGCAAAATTCTTTTTGGTCTTAATATATGAAAGCTGCTTCCTAATAAGCACGTGAAAGTGATGAGGGTATTCCTCTATTTTGTGGGTTGTGTGTGGTGGGTTTTTTTTTCTTCTTTTTTCCCCTTCTTTTCCCAACCAATACAATGGTTTGCTACCTGGACCTTTTATTGAATACCCCTTATTGAATGAGTGTATGAGATCACATTAACCACTATCCCAATGGGTTCTGCAACTATGCGGAAAGAATTTTGGTCTGCTTGCATCATACGAAGATGAATCACCAGCTGACTTATTCAAGTTTCTCTTGTCAAGTAGAATCACGCTGCCAGCTTGTCACACAGAGCAATGCATCCAAAATAGTGTAAGTCAGTGATATGATCTGTAGATCAGGAAAGTATGAGCTGAAAAGCAAGTTTTCTCTAAGAAAGAGGAGGTATATCGTTGCTTTTTTTTTTGTTTTTTTTGGTTGAGGTACCGTACTTCATCCATGATTGCTCAGGGGAACTGTGGTTATTCTTTTGTTTGTTGAAAATGGTGTGTGTTAAGAATGATACAGAACTGCACTACTGACTTTTGAACCCCCCTGCTGTTCTCATTTTGTTATTCTCCTATTTTGTTATTCCCTATTATTAAGCTGCTAACAGGTTTATTTAGTAGATTCTGTTAGAGGGTGTTGAGAGGTACGTTTGAATTCAAGTGTATTAATAACAAGGTGACTTTGAATTCCATGATTTCTATATTGACAATAATCAGCTCATATGCGGTATGTAAAAAGTAGTTGACTGTCTTATGGTTGTAAATAACACTTGAAGATTTTTTTTAATGCTTTTCCTATAGTGATATGACTATAATCCCTGCTGTGGCCTTCTGTATATATATGTAAAAATAATTTTCACATATTGCTTATTTGATGGATGCTGGCCCACTGGTGAGCTCATCCTGGAGTTTGGGAAGAGCTTTTCTCTTAATAAAGGTGTTATCTGAGTTCAGAAGGGTGGGATATCAATTGACAGCATGTTCTGTGTTCTTTCACTCATGAGGAGAGTAGGGAGACTGTGTCCAAATGAGTACTGAGCAGATTTGGCCCCTGGCTCTATTGGTAGGGCTGTGTCAGCTATCACTCACCTGCAGCTTCTAATTAGGTTAGAAGCTTTTTAGATGTTTTTTCGTTGTCTAAATGGTATCTATTAACACTCCTGATCACAAACTTTTCTCAGTGTCTGCTTCCCAAGTCTTTTGGTTGATTGTGACAAGAATGCAGAAGGCATTTGCTTCAACCCTGTACCGGTGAGGCTTTGTTAGCAATGTTTTTCATGTTGCAGGCAGTGTAGAACAAAAGAGTGGGAGTGTGACACAGGGAAATAGCTAGGCAAGTGATCTGAAACTTCCTGACCTGCCATACAGATGAGTCTGCAACGGAATGACTCTTCTGAAATACAGGTCAGGCAATTGCTGTGAGCTCCTAGAGACATGAACTTCCATAGACCAGGAAGGCAAAACACTGTAGGAAGTTTGTGGACATAAACGCTCTTTTTGAAGAAGCAGTGGCTTCTTCAAATTTGCAAGATGCCAGACACACAGTTCTTTGTTTCCACGCCCACACCCTGTCCAAAAACGATCTTTCCCTGTTGTGTATAGGTGGCACTGTATGACTCAGAAGGCAGTCCTCCAGAGAAGTGTGTTTGATAGGTTAAGCTGTCGTTCTGTGAAAGCGTGGTCCAAAGTACTGGCAAAAAAAAAAAAAAAAAAAAAAAAAAAAAGGGAATAATAAATCCTATTTGCACATCACCACAAGTGGTGGGTGTTTTGAGTAGGTAAAGTGTATCCCTGAGCAGAACTTCAGAAAAATGAGTCGCCCTTGTAATAGCATCTTAGCTGGCTGTTTAGAAAGCTCCCACTGCTGGATGTGTGGATGTGTGTATTAATCTGGGCAGCTGGACTGTAGTACTTGGGTCCACTGTGCTGATGTGCTACTCTTCCTGATGGCCAGTGTATGTGATTCAGTTTAGCAGTGAAGTTCTGTGCGTGATAATCATGATGGGGTTCCTTCCATCCCAATTATATGTATGTGTGTATGTGCACATATATATATGTGTATATATATATATATTTTTTTTCTATTCAGATAACTTCTTGGAACTTCTGAATGCACATCAAACTTAAAGAATTTTGTACTGTTGATTTTTTTTTTTTTTTAAAGTATTTTTAGAAGGCAGATCTTTCAATAACGGTAATAAAAAAAAAAAAAATGTTGTGAGGTAGAAAACTGCCTTGAGGGATTTAACTGAGCTTTTCTCTGTGCTTCTGCACAATGTGCAAATACTCGTTCCACAGTGCAAAATCTGTCCTTCAATGGGGCCCTGAGATTGTGGGTTTCATATGTAGATTGGAAACTTTTTTGTGTATCTGGTTGAAGGAATAAGGAGAAATGAATGTCACCAAACAAACCAGCCGAGGATGTTTGCTTCCTTCAGTGGTGAGAGAAAGGTTTGGCCTTGAGCCTTCAGTTGTCTGAAACTAGTGGAGCATGATGGACTGGAAGCAGCAATTTATCACAGCCTAATGTCTGCTGGCAAATATTGTAATGGATATGGGAGCTTAAGCTTATCCTGGGGAGTAGTTTTCTGTACTGTTCCTCTAGAAAGAGTGAATAAGATAAAGAAAAAATCTGTCTATTTAACAGATGTTTTCCTAGTTAGTGTTTTGGGAAGAAATTAAGGGGAAAAAAAAGACCTTTCTGAGAAAGGATAAAGTGAATTTTTGGTAACTTTTCTAGCCACGTAAACCTTAACTTTATTTTCATAATGACAGATGTGGTATTCTGCAATGATGAAAGGGTCGCTGGCTAGATTTCATTGAAATGTTTGTATTAATAACAGCCTTCCCAACTGACTGTCAAATCAAATGGCTCTAAATCCAGAAGAACATGCGTCCCTGATATCTTAATGTATGGGAGGGGCTGTCAGTCACCACTGACCTACCTACGGCATTGATATGCTGTCACCAATGTGACAGGGTGCCCATGCTCTGGAAATCCAAATGGTTTTAAACACTTCTTGGATTTTGTTTTTGCTTCCTTTTCCTTTTAAAAAACCACCGTTCTGAAACTTGCAGCCACTCACCCAGGTGATAAATTAGGTGATTCCATTTGCAAGGCATTAGTGAACAAATTAAGCCAACCCTGCTGCCCATCTTAATTTCAGTTGTTATAGATAAAACTCAATGTACTGTAAAATGTTAAGGCAGTTTGTAAGGGAGCTGTTGGTACAGCATAAAGCTGCCATCTGTTAGGAAGCCCAGAAGGAAATAATATTTTATTTTTTTATTTTATTTCCCTGTGAGAAGTACTTCAGAGGAGCAGTGGCTGGTTGTGATGCTTTAGGAAACTCTTTGCTGCTCGCCCTGTGCCTGCGTCTATTTGTGCAGAAAAGCATCGTCTTGCTCTGTGTTTGAAACTGCACTTTTCCTTGTAACATGTATGCATTAATGTTAGTGAGTGATGTGCAAAATAAGGATGGTTGTGACTGTTCAGTAAATTAATCTCAAATCTACTGTCTCTAGATAGTGAAGTCAGCCCTCCAGTTGTTGGTGATGGAAATACAGGCACCTTGTCCCACTCTAACGGCTCGCATGTTTGGATCTTAATAGGAAACTTCAGTCTGTTGGATCACTTAATCAGGATTAAATTCCCTTGTCAAGCAATGTGATCAGTGTTCTGTCTTGAATTTTATGTTTTTTCCCCTTGTGAGTCTCTCGTAAAGGTTTTTCAATCCTTCAGTGGGAACAGCCCCTGGAAGAGTACAAGTATTATTTAAAACATCCAGTGTCACAAAATTGTTTGAGTTGGAAGAGACTTTTAATGGCCATCTGGTCTAACTCCCCTGCAATGAGCAGGAACACCTACAGCTTGACCAGAGCCCTGTCCAGCCTTACCTTAGCTGTCTCCAGGGTCAGATGGGGCATCCACCACCTCTCTGGGCAACCTGTGTCAGTGCCTCACCACCCTTACTGTAAAAACTTCTTCCTTATATCAGATCTGAATCACCCGTCTTTTAGTCTGAAATCATTTCCCCTCATCCTGTCACCACAGACCCTGCTAAAGAGTCTGTCCCCTTCTTTCTTGCAGACTCCCCTAGAATGGAAGGATGAGAGGTTCAGACTCAGTCCTCAGTTTGTGATGACTGATGGATGCAGCTGGATTCTTGGGAAAACCTTCCACATGGGATTGTGACGGGAGGGAAGAGAATGCTCATCTTGAATGTTAGCTGCCAAAAAGCCCTTAGTGTATGTCTGTTTAAACTACCCCACTAGCTAGCAAAAAATCTGAGATGTGTTAAGAAGAAGCCATTGACACAAGCTATCCTTGTATTGAAGGTGTTAGTAACTTTCAAAAAAGTCTTGTTTTGGTAAGCATTGGTCTTTCTAGGATGTGATGTTACATCATGGAAGTCATCTTTTTTTGTTTTATGAAGGAGGAACTCAGAGAATCATGGGAAGAACCAACTGATCCTCAAGCTCAGCAAGAAATAATTAATAGCATTGAAGAAGTTTATTTTTCCAATGATGCCTTTGATATTGTGAAGTATGAATTAGAGGTGAGTTATTTTTGTAAAAGGCAATAATATAACTAAAAATGAGGGTCAAAAGTCAGCTTCTGTCAGTGATGCACTTTCATTCAAAACGGGTTGGTTTTGTTTGTTTTTGTTTCCCCTCCCTGCCCCCGAATCTTCTTTCAGTTGTATGGAGCATGTGATATTGGTATGAAGTTTCTTCTTTTAATGTGATAGAATTAATATCAAGCCTGTTGTTCTGACCTTTACACTACTTCAAACTACTTTGAAAAAGGCCATATAGTTGGAGGAAAAACCATCTGTTCTATTTTTTTTAAGCAGCCTGAATTAACAGACACAAGTCATTTCAATCACTTGAGGCTTGTGTATGTATATATATGGCTTAAAAGAGGGTAACTATTATATTCTTTAGACCTGATTTCAGTATTCTTAATTTGAATACAAATTAGATTGCAGAAGCAGTAAGAAAGTTTCCTAAATAAAATTGTTTGGTTAGCTAATGCTGCATGTGTATTTTGTGTACTTTAATTTCTCACTGAATTTTATTGGTTGTTTGTGCACAGAGGCTTCCTCCTGTACTTAGTCTTCAAGAACTGGAAGAATATAGAGACAAATTAAAACAACAGCAAGCTGCTGTAAGTAAAGCTGTTTGGTGTACTGCCAGGCAGATTTGTACATTGTTTATGACTGTAGCTAGAGGTGTAACTGAATGTGTTTTGATTTCTTAAACCTGCTAGATAATGAGCTTTTTGTTGTTGTTGTTGTTTGAATGTTGTTGTGTTCTTTTATAAGGGAGAATCATACCAGTAAATCATAGTCATAGAAAATAATGTAAGTAAATCATGGTGATGAGTACTGTAATTAGGATCAAACTGTAAAATGATTTATTTAGAAACTATTTTTAGGGTGTTCAGTTTTGCAATGTATTAGAAGAAATAGCATAGCATTTAATATGTTGTACTGTCTCTTTTTGAGGGATATTTGACAACATAAAATATTGAAAAACATCTATTTTCTTAGAGTTTGTATTCTCTCAATTTTTTTTTTTTAATTGCCTGTGAGGGTGTCTAGTGAATGCTGTATATGCTTACTATGAAATAATGAACTTATGTGGAAATGAGAGCTGCAGCTTCTGACAGATACTTGTTATATTTCAGGCTTTTATAATTTTATAATTTTTTTAATAATTTTATTTTTATTCATCTATTAATAATTGAGTAATTGCTCTGAAAGATTAATAATATCGCATAGGAAGTGAATGTACTAACTATGGCATTTGGTAAGTAAAATAACAGTATTAATTCTGATTTGTGTCTTTAAATGAATGAAATGTACAGAACAAAAATACTGAACCATTAACAACACAGAACAGAAAAATTATTTTGTCCTACAACTCTGTACCAGTGAGGCTTTTTCCAGAAAAAAAGGTATGAAATTTTGTGAAGTATTAGAGAGAAGTGGGCAAATGAATATTCCATGATCATCTTCACCAAAAGATGTACTTATTTATTTTAGTCTGCTTGAGAGTGAAAGTCTAAGAGGACATCTGCTGGTTGACCTAGTTTTGCAAGGAGATACACTCAAGGCTGAGAGGCAACTGCAAAGGAATATGCTGAATAGTCTCAATACTTGATATCAATGTCTTACCATTCTTCTTGTACAGATGATTTGAATTAGAAGGCTTTTTTTCAGCTGACTTCGTTTTAATTAAGTCTGATATCCATAATTTTTTTCTTTTCTTTTTTTTTTTTTTTTTTACTTTAGGAGACAAAATATTTCAGCCTGATGAAATCTTTTCCTGCAGTCCTACTCCACAAAGAGCAGTTCTTTCGCTGTTCTGCAAAACAAAGCTGTATTTCTTCTATTGAGCAACTGAGTTGAAAACCATTTGGTGATCCTGGCCACATTTTAATGTGGAAGAGGGAAAGCATCCTCTTGTCCAGATTGCCAGCTGATAGTATCAGTGTCCTTTGAAAAACATTTGTGTACAGATGTTCTTCCAAAGGATGGGAACTGGCATGGTGGAGCTACTCTAAGTTTGTTACAGAAATACTATACTGTGAAGATCCCAATCTCACTCTGTGTTGGTATAACCAATTTATACTCTCTGCTGCATATGTATATATTCAAAACAGAAGAACCTCCTAATCTCTTTTTCCCACAAGTTCATTGGGGCTGATAGTCAGAGTTGGTTGTATTTTATTTTTGTTTCTGGAAGCATTGGTCCCTAGGAAGAATATAGAACAATACAGATGATTTATTTTTGTGTTTGAAGCTATTTAATACTATGTCTGCCAGAAACAAAAGCATGTTTGTGGCTTTCTTAGATCTCCCTGGTAGAAGTTTAATTTATTTTATGCTCTAGAAATAGCATAAACAGAATGTAAGCAGCTGTAGTGTTCCATATAATTTCTGTTTTTTATTCTAGCATGTTAAGAAAGCAGAGACCATTTGTTCCTATTACTTTACTGTGGCTACTTTGTTGAGATTGTTGTTTATCACTGGTAATATTCTTGTTTTTAAGGTATCTAAGAAAGTTGCAGACTTGATTCTTGAAAAACAACCTGCATACGTTCAGGTAAGGCAACAGCCACTTTTTAACAGTAAACCACACAATTTAGTGCTGTTAGAATACTGCCCTTGTTTCAGTGCAGCTTAAATATAGTACTGGGTTAGAAGAGACTGGGTTAGCTAGTGAAGGGATCAGACTGGATGCCTCTTCTGCAGTAGCTGGAGGAAAAATAAGAAAAATTGTAAGGGTAATGTTATTTCACTTTTAGGTAAACAGGTGTGGTGGGATTTTATTGCAGAAAGAAGCTGGGTAGTGCTTTAATGACTGAGTGTTCAGAAAGTAGTGTAAAGTTGAGCAGAAAAAGATAGTTTTGATTTCAAACTTTGCTGATACACTTCTGTTGTTGCACACTTTTGGAATTGATAATGTTGTTGAGCCATTGCTAGTACTCCTGTAGTTAGCAGCTACTTTTTAACAGCTTTTAAGCATAACAGCATTGTGGAGAATGTGCTGCTTACATTTTACTGTGTAATATTTAAATTCTTGTATCAACAACATCTGAGTGAGATGCACAAAGGGATGACTGTAAAACCATTGTGCCAATAAAACTCTTTTAAAAACATTTCTCAAATATTTACCTAATTAAGTTAATAATCCTATTATGTATGGTTTCCACAGAGTTATTCTTGTCAGTATTTCTGGTGGGCATTATGAGACTCTCTCTCACCTTCCCACTGATTCATAAAGTGATGCAGCCGGCACTTGGTAATGGCAACACCAATTCCCTCTCAAGTGACAGTAATGAGTTATTAGATGAAGCAAAGGTGTAATTATCAGCCCTGTAGACACGTTGATTCAGCTGTGCAAAGGAAAGTGTGGGGAAGTCATGGTTTGCACCCATCTTTTCATAGATCTCCTGATCTAGCAGCCACATCTATGGGGTGTGAGGCATGGCACAGGCACAAGGCATAATAGTTTTGTTGCTGTCTCGAAAGGAGAAGCTTACTTTAGAAAACTCCAGTGTCTCTGAGATAAGGGAAAAAGGTGTTGAGCCAGAGCTGCTCAACTGAAGGCTCCTTTTCCATGGACCATTAGGCTGCACTGGTTCCTTGTGCCTCTCCAGCTATGTTCAGATGAAAAATTTTACAGAACCTTGTAGAAGGGAAGACTGGACTTCTGGCATCTTAATGCAAATGAATTCATGTGCTTATTTCCCTGATCGCTTTGGTGTGGTGCATTCTATTCATTTTATATAAAGTCTCCTATGCTGAATGTAAAGTATATAACTGTAGAAGTTCTCACTGCAATGAAAGTATATTTCAAGTGTATTTCTTCAAAGAATTACATTTTTAAAGAATTTGCTTTAATGTTTGTTTGTTTAATGTTACATTCTTGCTCTAAGCAAATATAACATGATGAAATAAGTAATATATAAATTAAATCTAAATTGTTATTATAATATCTCAAGATAGAATCATGGCATCACCAAGATCAGAAAAGACCTCCAAGGTCCAACTGTCCCCCTGCCACCAATATTTCCCCACTAAACTGTGCTCCTCAGCACATGTAAATGTTTCTTGAACACCTCCTGGGACGATGACTCCACCACCTCTCTGGGCAGCCCATTCCAGTGCCTCACCATTCTTTTGGAGAAGGAATTTTTCCAAATATCTAACCGGAACCTCTGCTGGTGCAGCTTAAGGCCTTTCCCTCTAGTCCTGTCAAATAGATAAAGATACTAGTTGCTAGTTTTTGCTGGTTTGTAGCACAACTTGTATGCTTGTTTCACCTGTTGTCTCTTTGTAGGAACTGGAACGTGTTACATCGTTGCAGAATGGCCTTCAGTTGGCAGCTGTTATTTGTGCAGATGGAAGAAGGTATCTTGCTTAATAGCAGAAACTGAGAGGGGGAAAAGGGGATTTAAGAAGACACTTATAAGTCCAGGCGTTTGCTTACTATTAATATTTCTAGTGCATGTGCTGAATGGAATTGGCAATAGTAGTTCAAAATACTAAAACAAATACCAGTTGCTTTCTGTCTTGCATCTTTTGCTGTAAGGGGGGTTCTGCACCACTGATCCGCAGGCAAAATTCTGCTGAAGAGATAACATGTCTTCTTACTAATCTGTTGGTATTACCTCAATTTCAGCATTTCCCTAACAGTGCTGACTGTTACTTCGTACATATTTTGTAGCACTTATGGTGATGTATGTGGTAGCTTTTATTTAAAACAAGCCTTGCTTTATGTATCACTGGAATTTATTGTTTTTTGTTGTTACAACAATATTTTGTTGTTAATTTACACAGACACCTGAATATTGCAAAGGAAGGCTTCACACAAACCAGTTTGGGACTTCTTGCAAACCAAAGGAAAAGACAGTTGCTTATTGGACTATTGAAGTCTCTGAGGACAATAAAAACACTGGTATATGCAGGGTTTTTTTTTTTTTTTTGCCAATTAATAGCAGAATATTTTTTGTACATTCCTTTGTAGTTATCAGTGTTTTCTTTTTTCTTTTCAGCAAAGAACTGATGTGCGTTTAAGTGAGATGCTGGAGGTAGGTCTCTGCAGACTACTGTATCTTGTAGCTATTCTAAATCATCTCTTAGTCCTCTTAATTTTATCCCTTCTTCCTTTATCTTATGAACAGTATATGATGGGGCTTTGTGGTGGAATAGTGTATTTCTTTTTATTTAGTGGCTTAACGTTTTAATAGTGAGTTATATAAATCGTTCAGTCCATAGGCTGTGGCACTAAAGATTCTACTGATCTATCCAAAATGTAAGAGATAATGTACAGGGTGAAAATAAGATCTTGTCTTTAGGTTTTTAAGTTGTATGAGAACGTAACAAGTTTATTGATGGCTGTATTTTAATAATATCATGTAAGCATTTTGACTTGTAGATTGCTGAATATTTATAGCTGATGTCAGATCAGATGGAACATCACTGTGATAATCCCTAGTTACGCAATTTAGAGATGGAATCTTATTCGTTTTTAGTCTTGAGATTCTTAAATCCCATCTTGGGTAACATACGTTGTCTCTCACTTTGTTGCTCTTTACCAAGCAAGATATATTAATTCTTAGCTTTTTTTTTTTTTTTTTTTTTTTTTTTTTTTAAATAGCAAAACTTGATCTACATTATAATGCTGACGCTAAAGTAGTTTCATTTCAGAAATTCCTTTATGGTAATAGCTGAATATAAATTGCCCTTGTGCTTTTGATCTTCAATCACTGAATCTGAAAACTCAGTGGTTCAATCACTGAATCTGATAACTCAGTAACAGGTTTGCATTTGAATTCTCTGAAGCACATAACGATATGGATATAATTGGGAAAAAAAACGGGAAAGCTTTAGAAATTGAAGGGGATTTTACTTCCTCCAAGACTCTTAATAGAATACAAAACCAGTATTTACAGCCAAGGCACTGTTGGCAAGAACTTGCGGTTGTACATTCTTGTGTGTGTAGCTTTGTTTTGTATTATCATATTCTTCTTGCTTGATTTGATTGGATATTCTTCTTATAAATTAGGGGAACATTTTTTTCCCTTCCCCAAAGTATGCTTTGTTTGTCCTAGGGTCTTCTGTTGTGAACCAGTTGGCTACAATTCATTTTTCATTACTTATTGAATGTATCAAATTAAATAGAAAATGTTTATTTTGCATAATACTGGAGTGTCTCCCATAAGTGTTTGTTGGTTTTATAGGCTGCAGCCTAGCAGTGCTTGAATTTACCTCTTCCCCTGCTCATAAATGGATTGTGTTGTATTAACTAAGGTTTGAAAATTAAATGGAAAATTGTTGTTTTTAGTGAGATCTTTCTCATGCATTTTCTTGAATCTGTAGATAAAAAGCAAGTCATTTGCATAAGAACACAAGATGTGCAGTATTTTTAAATGTTGCTAACACCTGATATTGCCTGCTTATAATTCTGAATGGCTTGCATATTAATTTCTACAGTAGACCCTGAATAGTTTCTTATAACTTCATACTATACAAATGTAAGAGGTGAAATATTTTGGTCTTTATGTTTATACGTGAGCTTTTAAGGAAGAATGAGTGTTGTGATATTTGCTTCCGAAGCCAAATTAGCTTTCTGTTCCATTTTATCCCAAGGAAGAGGACTATCCAGGAGCTATTCAACTGTGTTTGGAATGCCAGAAAGCTGCCAGCACTTTCAAACACTACAGTTGTATAAGGTGAGGTGACACTGCTGATCTCACCTTCTGGATAATATGTGTAAATGATAAAAGGCAGTGATGATTATTTCTCATTCTTTAAAGCAATTTTGACTTAAACTTAATTTTCTTCTTAGAAAAGTAAAGTTGGAGGATTTATAAAAGTATGAAGACACTCAGTGGGTGCTGTTCCCCCATACCACTACTAACAAACCCCTAATAACACTATATAACCTCTGCCTGGTCTGTGTCACTGTTTTCTAACTGTTTCAGAATGTTGGCAGGTAAAGTTTTGGCTAAGACTGAGTTATGACTGTGCTGCAGTTTGCGGGATAATTTTTAATTAGGAAGTTTATAATCTGGAATTAATTAACCTTCAGTAAGATGATTTTGGATGGGCAACTTACAGTGAGTCTTGGTGATGAAATTAGCTAATGTACAGCTTTGTGCCATTGAGGAGGAATTGCTTTCAGAACTGAAACTAATCAGTATGTCTACGGTTTCTAGTTTATAAATACTTCCTTTTTGTTTTTAATGAAACAGAAAAAATAATTGGCTGTTCTATGAATTTATGATTTGTTGCAGCTTCAGAGTAATTACCCATAATGATTGATTTTAGTTTAGGTCTGCTTTTGAGCTGTGATGTTTTTTTGAGGTGTGGTTGTTCAAAGCCAGCCTGAATTGGACTTTGAGCAACCTGCTTAAAGGGAAGTAGGGAGGTGTCCGTACCTACATCTCAGAGTTGGGACTAGATGATCTTAAAGGTCCTTTCCAACTCAAACCATTCTGTGATTCTACGGTTCTAAGAATTTAGAGATGAAAAAATTGTATGAGGTTGGAAATGCTGCCCAGAAATAAGCCTCTCCATGTTCTTTATTTTTAAAAAACTCCTTCCTGTTTAATTCTACAAAGCTTGTGGATATAAGTTGACTATTCAGTCAACATTTGCTAACATTACTAGATGCAATTTTTATTTAAAAATATAAGTCAAAGTCTTCTGTTTTCTGCTTGTTGATGAGCTTCAATCAATGGGAGTAGACTCCCTTGAAAAACACTTAGAAAAATGGACTGTCAGATAATAGGGCCACTCTATCTATTGCTTTTGTATCTAAACACTCCATTATGTCACAGTAGATGATAATGTGCTAGAAATGCGCTGAATCCGATTTGTGTGAATGAGGATGCAAAAAACACTGTTAATGCAAGTTCTAATTCAGGATTCATTTCATTCAGAAAGTCTTTATTATCATAGTAGGGCTTTCATAGTAATCATGTAGCCATTGTATCTGAGGTTAATAATTGTGGCTTAGAAAACATGTAAGCTTTTAGCTGGACTCTGCATTTATTTACTTTCCGTTCAGTGCTTGATCAAAGTTAGATTTCTACTGGAATCTTGGAATTGCAACTGCTTTTCTAAAATTGCCAACATAGATGTAGGATGTATTCTTGCAAACACTTGTGTCTATATTTAGTTGGATAAAGGCTGGATGTTGTGTTGAGGGACATGGTTTAGTAGGAGCTATTGGGAATAGGTGAACGGTTGGACTGGGTGATCTTTTAGGTCTTTTCCAACCTTAGTGATTCTATGATTCTATGATTCTATGATTCTATGATTCTATGAAATAAACTATGAATGTGTGTATTTAAAGTTAGTGATTGAGCTTGAATGGAAAGACAGCACTGTTACAGTTTGCACTAAGTGGTATTGGTAAGAAACAGGAGGTGGTTTTGCCTTGATTGCATTTCATTTAGTACTGGATCTTTAGCATTCCTACCCATATTTCTTTCCCAAAAGAAAGGAGACATACATCATTCCAAAGTGGTTCAGATCTTTGGATGTTTGCTGAGATTTGTGACATTTAGGCTTCTGATGTGCCCAAACGTCCTGCTTTGGCAGATGTTTGCAAATGGAGTCTTTCCTCACATTAGGAGTGTGGTATAGTGGAAATAAGGAATGAGTTTTTATGAAGATCTGTGCTTGTATACAGCTGAAATTAGTCAGATGTGGACAACTGCAACAAGTGGGAATTGGTTTCAAGAGTCCAAGAAGTTTTTCGACCCTATAGTGCACTAGTGGAACAAGTTCTCTGTGTGTGAGCATGTAAGTTGCTTCATCAAAGATACAGATAGATAAGTGCTGGGGATTAGCAGCAACATGCTCAGGACATTTATTTGAAAGGGATCAGTCTTGTGTTTATGTGATGCCTTCTACAGTTAGGGGCTTTGTGAATTTTTCGTGGGACTAAACCAGAACAGCTGCTTAATTTGTTCTGACTACCTGTGCTTTAAACTGCATTTATTGACATCAGCACTTTCTGCTGTCAGCATGTAAAACAACTAGATTTTTGTACACTGGGGGTCTGTCCTGTACCTAGTTCTAAAGCAGGAGTCTTTCTGTGCAAAAAGCAGGGTTCTTACACTTGTTTTAATCTCTTTTTGCTAGGTAAAAGAGCTAGAGTGTAGTAAGTGTTCCTAAACTCCAGCAGAATATGATGTAAAATCGTTGTGAAGGCTTTTCTTTTTGGAAGCTTGTTACTTAAGGATAAACAACAAGGAATGATTGGCTACTTGATTTTCAGTGTTTAATGCTGACCTTTTCGTGTATTTTATTTATTTATTTATTCTTATTTAAACCTTTTTTTGGAAGGTGTTCTTTCCAGGTTATCTAACAACTAAAAATGGAGGCATATCATGTAAGGGGAGAGAACTAGGTAAGGAAGCTAGAATCTTTTGATAGTTAATGTGGCCATTAGGAAAAGATACAGAACATAGAAGTAAGTTGCCTTAAGTTAGGTAAGGTGATTATCCCATCAAAACTCTGTGCTTTCTGTGCTGGAGAGGATATCCTGCCTATTTCTTGAAGCTCCCAAACAAAAATATGTTCACTGCTTTTTATGTCTTATTTTTTTCAGCTGGTGTTACAAAAATTTAGAAGTGAATTTTCGGAAGGGAACAGTTTTGCCTTGTCCAAAATGGATTGTCTTATGGTAGCTGTTTTAGTTAATCTTTCTGTACCACATTCAGCTCAGACAGGTGAACTGATGGTCTTAAAGAGATTTGCTGACAGTTACGTAAGCTCAGGTTCTGACTTTTTCTTTGAAATTTAAATAAACACTTTTGCTTTAGCGTCTGTATAAAGGATTCCTGACAGTGAGAGAAATTTATTATACCACAGATTGCGAAGATTTGACAGCCTTGATCTTTTTGGTTATCTTGCTAGATACCGGAGGGCTGAATTGAAACGTGTAGAGCACAAGTTTCTGTGGGTTTGGAAATATCTTTGAATACTCTGATAAATCCCAGCAGACAAACAGACACTGTTGTGTTATAAAGCAAGGAAAATGTGTCCCTGTAACAGATAATTTTATTTGAAGTGTTAAAAGTACTGCACTGTTGGTATGATCAGGAGTTTGATTTCAAACAGTATTTTTTCTTTCATTAATAGCGAGTTGAATTCAAAACTGCAAGATACTTTGGAACAAATAGAGGTAAGAATGAATGTGTTGGTTTAGTACATATTAGTAGTTTACCTCTAGATATTAGCTTATTTAGCATTAGATATTTCTAATGCACTGCCTTTAGCAATTACTGAGTGTGCATGTTTTTTCAAGTGTGGTGATTGGAATGCTGTAGTCATTGCTATTCCTGTAGCCTTTTGTGCTGAAATATACATAAATGCTGTATAATATGGTATCATGTTTATGAGCCCAGCTTGCTAATTGTGCCTACATTAAGTGGTAAAGCAATCCAATAAAATATGTGAGGTACTAGAGCAAAGATATGCTCCGTGTGTGATAAAGATGCACGGTAATTTACTGCTGTGAATTTAGTCCTAAAAAGTTGTGAAAAGTAACCATGAGCAGCATACCAATAGTAGGTTTGGATAAGCTACTTGAGAAATGAGTTCCGCTGGAAACTTTTGAGGTCAGCGAACTGGAAGCTGATGTGTAGGGCCAGTATTAAGCCATAGCAAATAAGACTTGAATAACTGGGGCAGATATGACTAAGAAGATGAGTTGAATGAATAAAAGTATATAGGAAGTAAAGAATCCTGTGGTTTCTCTTTGCAAGAGTAAACTACATTGTAGTGCCCTTAATTGATAAGAACTTTGAAGTCAGAAGATATTTAATCTGTGCAATAGGTTGCAAATTGAGAATAAGAAGTCTATAATTGTATTGTCTGAGCTGAAATGCTTATGAAACTTTTTTTTTCTTTTTTTTTATTTTTTATTTTATTTATTTATTTTTTTTATTTTCAGTACTAGGTGTTTCTTAGAAGGGGTAGCAGACCAAGTTAGAAATCCCAACTCCCCCATTTTGGGTTCCTAAATCTTTACAAACTAATGTACTTCTTGTTTGTAACTGTTTTTGGAAACGGTGGAGCCATTTGCCTGGCAGAAATTTCAGATTGAAGCGATGCATTTGGCATTTTAGCACCTGAAAATAGTCCAGTCTTGTCAGTTTTACATGCATAGTTATCACCAGTTAAATACACTTATTTTCCTCATTTGTTATTGTTTGATATACTCAGCTTGATGTTTAACATGTTGTTTTGCCTTCCTTTACATAGGAACAATTGGATGTAGCACTCTCGAAGATATGTAAGAACTTTGATATCAATCATTATACAAAGGTTCAGCAGGCTTACAGGCTGCTTGGGAAAACACAGGTTGGTATTTGTGTTCTGAGTAAGTTGTAAAGGCTGGTGCTGTAAGAGTGTGAAGATTTGAGTACTGTGATGGAAATTTCTTCTAATGCCGATCAGACTTGGCTGTATATATTTACAAAGGCTCAGATATATTAATGGTAAATGCTAAAGGTAAATCAAGCAACACTGTAGCACATAAGATTTGGGACATAGTATAATTGTAATAAATCAATATTTCACCTACTTATGTGATGCTTTATGCATTCTTAACTATACCTGGACATGTGAGTGCTATTTTTTTTTTTTTTTTTAATATACTGAGCTATGTACAACCTGCACCTTGTTCCATATACATTCCTGCTTTATATTGTCCTTGAATGTGATCAAAATGAAGATGTGAGGAGGTTGCTGGGTTTTTTTGTTTTTTTTTTTTGGCAACAAGAAATGAAATAAGGTATGAAAGGAGGAAGCTCTGCAGGCAGTTCTCGTCAGTGATCAGTTTTCTTAACACAGTGACGTTAAACGTGGTGGTGCCAGTGTAGCAGTGACATGCTAGCTTAGAGAAGAGATTCCCTCAGGGAGCATTAGCTTCTGACAGTCACATCAGAGTGTCTGTCTCCTGCTAAAGGCAGAACAAGAGCTCCATTCTGTTATGAGTTGTTTTTGTTTTTTTTCTTTTTTCCTTTTTTTAAAGCTTATTCCCGATATTCAGGACAAGGGCTGGCATTTTTTAAATGGTTTTTTCAAAGTAAACTTCGTTCTTTGCTTATATTGCAAGGAAGGGTTTGGTAAGGAAAAACGTTTTGATATGACTTACAGGCTTTCTGCCTATAACTTGTTCTCTACATTGTACTCTATTCTAAAAGGAAGAACTCAGTGTACCAAGCAGATAAATGCAGCACTTTAGTTGTGATTTTAGTTTTATTAATTGCAAAGGCATTATTATTCTTTTAGTTGGAAGTGTTTCCAATGGGGGGAAAAAAAAAACCAATAATCTCAGCCCATTGTTTTTAGACAAATAGGTCAATGATTTTTGTTTTTTGCTTTCCCTTTTCTTTCAGACAGCAATGGACCAATTGCACATGCACTTCACTCAAGCTATTCACAACACTGTGTTTCAAGTAGTGCTTGGATATGTGGAGCTTTGTGCAGGAAACACAGACACCAAGTTTCAGAAGTTACAATACAAAGACCTCTGTACAGTATGTAATTCTTGCACGAATATGTACTTTTTAATCTAAAATTTTCCTCCGTTGTAAGTATCCCATATCTAAGTACTCAGTTACAATAGCTGTGGGATTGTTTTGATAATTTCTTAATACAAATCATAGCCTAATTGAGAGATTGCTTGTTTTAAACCTAATATTGATTTTGATGGAATTGAATCTTGTTAGTACTTTGTTATTAATGTACACATCACCTGAATAAATGCAGAGAAGTAAACAATAGGGTATGAACAGGAGGCTAACACTTCAAAACTCCTGTATTTTCTTCACAGCAAGCGAGACAAGTGTGACTTTGCGTTTCCTACTCAGATGAGCAGTTTTACTCTTCTGTTTTCTTAAATAAATCCCTTTACCTGAAAAATCTCATTTTAGAAATTTCTACTGCATACTTAACACTTGCACAGATTTCACTCTTCACATGCTCTTCACTTAATGAGTGTCTTAAATCACAATTGCTTCTTTGAAGCAAAGTGGCTCAGCGATGTAGGTCAGCTGTCACCTGTGCTATCTGTTTTTACCTGCTTGAGTTATATAGCACTGGATCCAATGGACCATCAGCCAGGATGGCTACTATCTGTCTAATGCTGACATCTAAATACAGTGTTGAAGTGAAGCAGTGTCCCTATATTGCAGGGATTGGCTGCAGCTGTTTTTCATGATGAGGCATCCTCATCATTAGACTGTACAGCTTCACTTCTGTATTTGCTGTTCTATGAATATGAGAAGGGTGATTATCTTAGTCAATTAAAAAAAAAAAAGGCAATAAGAAATAAACTTTGCACTTTCAGACAATGTTTAATCAACTGACTAACATCAGACATTTGTCAACTTTCCAATACTTTGATATACATCAAGGACTGTGTCTGTATGGTTTATTTTGCTTTTGCAAATGATGAATGTTACTGGTAACAGTTTCACAATATTATTTTTCATAGCATATTACATCGGACAGCTACATTCCATGCCTTGCTGATCTCTGCAAAGCCCTTTGGGAAGTCATGCTCAGCTATTACCGAACAATGCAGTGGCATGAGAATCATGATCAAGATGAGGCAGCAACTGTGTCTTCTGGTAAGAAATAATTCTGGAAACAACTTCTGATACTTGGAAATAACTTTTCTTGTGCTCAATTAATTAATTGTTATTTAGGTACCTTTGTGATCTTGGCTTACTGCCCCTCAAGGTTATAATTCATAGTGAATTATTAAAAAATTCACTGAATTTTGTAGTCTTCAGCATAACCTGTTTTAAAATAAATATATGTATGTGCCATTACCACAGTTATAACAGTTTTATTTCAAATAGTATTTGTTGTTTGCTCAGAAATCTGCTATGGTAGATGAATATAAAATCTGAGGAGTTTTTCCTTTAATATGAGATGGGCGTGTAATTTCAGATTTTTTGATCAGTGTTGAAATCTTCTCTGCATATTAAACTTAGTGGATTGGGATACTGCACTATGTACTAGGAAAGGGGACTGAATGAATCTGTTGAAAGCAGCAGTTGTAATTTTCAGGAAAAGTAATTTTTTAAATGTTGCTTGTCATCTCTGCTGTTGAAACTTATTGTAAGGTATAGGCACAGCTGACACTCTTGACACCCTCACAGGAAAAGGCCATAATTTTATCATACAGTATTATTCTGTGTTTGTTTTACTGTTGTTCCAGTTTGTGTTTTCAGGATAGAAGCACAAAACCTTAATCTGTCTTTTCGTTTCAGTCTTTCTGGGTGTATTTGGCTGGACATATGTTAATATAAAATATCTAAGAACAGACTTTTTCTCCACCAACTCAAGATGCTTCTTTTTGGCAGAGTGTGACATTTACAGTATTGAGATTTATGCAAAACTTTTACTTATCTGAATCAGGTGGGATTAGTCTTGTCTTTCTGGTCTGCACATAGAAGAAAACACTTCTGTCAAAGGGCAAGGAATGTAGACTGCTTCTGCAATTACTCTGTCTTGCTTGATTTACATAGAACATGTATTGTTTGCATTAGACTGTAAGTGAAAAGAAAAAAATAAATTAGAATTGGAAGTGAAGAATAAGTGCTGGAAGACTGTGCTTCCTAAAGTACATTTGTAATTCAGTTTTTCTTTCAAAAATTGGATTTATTACAGATTTTAAGCCTTAAAAAGAATAAAATTTAACTAATATTGTCTTCTTATTTTAAATGTAGAAACAACATTATGTAAATATTTGTAATGTAAATTGTAAGAAGTGTGTGATACAATGTAAATACAAGACAGTATCATTCTTGTATGGAATCTGATATGTATTTTTAAAAACTTTTTTCAAGTGAAACTTTTCTGCATATTTCAGAATTAAAGTTCAGAGTTGAAATGTTTCATTTTGAGATGCTGTTGTGAGGGAAGATTCTGAACTTCTGACTGACACCTTCTCAGTAATCTTTACTTTAAAATAAGTTTTGAAAGGCTCATCTCCTTTTGTTTTGATTTGTCACCTTTGAAGTGTTAAATAAAGCAGATGTTAGGAAGAGCTTATTACAAAGAAATGCTGTAGTAGACTACTTTCTCAGCTCCTTGTGTAACTTTAAAAACAGTTCCTCTTAGTGTGATTGCTTTTGGTACTCCAAAAGAAAGAAAGTTATACTACAAAACATTTTGAAAGCACCGCTAAGCATAATAAAGTTCTGTATTCAATCACGACTCATTTTAAACGCATTGGTTTAAAAAGGCACTGTGGTGGATTCTGGTATGTTTACTACTGATTCACTAAATCTTCTGTCACTCAATGTTTGAGTTGCTGGAGACTCTGTGACTTAGCTGTAACTTACTGTACAGGTGGAATATATTTGAGCTACTGAATCACTTTTTCAAGAACCCCAGCAATGAGAAAGCATACAAAAGGAAATTTAATAAGTATCATTTAATTTCAGAGGGATTATAAATATCTACCAAATGTCTGTTTTTTTTTTTGTTTTTTTTTTTTTCCCCCTCCTAAAGCTGTTGCTCATGGTGAAGTGATTATTTATTGATTTAATAACTGTAATATGTGCTCAAGCCAGAGAGTTAGATTTCTTTAGGATGTGATGGTGTATCAGAAGGAGCCAAGGAGGCAGTTCACTAAAATTTTGCTGAATATGTTTCTTCAGTTAAACCATATAGTAGAAACAGTAAAGAAAACAGAAAAACAGTAGAAGAAGCAGTCTAACTGATGCATATGTATTGGGCATTTTTTCATTTTTTTTAAATTAACTTTTAACTCAAAACTGTCCCAGTGTATTTCTCGTGTTGTGCTCATGTCAGCAGTCTTGCATAATATTTTAAATGGATCAAGGTGCTCTTGATAGACTTGAGGCACAAACCGAACTGTAGAACTTAGAAGTTGGACTTGAGGCATTAATTTCAGAGGTCTTTCTACTTTAATTGTGGAGCTCATTCAAAAGAAGTCCCTCATGGATTAGGGAAAGGAGGCTGCACTTCATATAGATAACATCACTTGTTTGTGATAAGTGATGCCTGTTATAGATGCTGAAACGTGCTTTGTTTTCATAACTTGTAAATGCTTGCCTTCCTGCATTTCTGAGGAAAGAAGTGCATCTGCTTTGTGTTAGTAAATATTCTGCTTATTTCTGTTGTGAAGACTGATGTGAGAACTGAAGAGCAAGGTAGAATAGAAAATTCTTTCACCATGTTTTTTTCTATTTGTTTGTTTGGAGCACTTATAGAAGATTCTTGGAAACTGAGGATTCTATTTTTTATGAAGTCATATGGAATGGTTTGGATTGGAATGGATCTTAAAGACCACCTAGTTCAAATCCGCCTGATGTGGGCCAAATTGCCACCCACTAGATTCTTTGCTCCAGTCCCCATACCAGCCTGGCCTCGAATGCTTCCTGGGATGGAGCACCCACAACACGGGGCAACACGTTCCAGTTCCTTACCACCCTTGTAGTAACAAGGTATTAAAGACCAGATCAGTTGAGCCAGAAACAAGGGAGTGAATAGTTTTCCCAGGTACTGAAAACTAGCTGGAGGTTGTAGGAGAGATGGAAAGACAGGTCTGATCTGCTTAGGAATGCTGAAATATTGCAGGTGATCTTAATTCTTCTGTTTTCAACCTCCTGGATGATGGAGTGGAAGGAACACTGTATGCTTAGTAATATTCCAGTGAAGTATTGTATATGGATTACATTTTATTTTTCATATCAAATCACTGAATGGTTTGTGCATCATTTTTCCACTTGTTGGGAACAGCGGATGAGTTTTTTTTTTGTTTCTTGGTTCTATCATAGAAAAAAGTTGTGTAGTCTCACAGAGTCAGAGATTTTGCGTGAAACAGGCAGTGACACTGTACCATCACAGGCTGCAAGCATAACCACAGCTATATGATAAAAAATTATAATTACTTAAATTTTAAAAAGGAGAGGGTAAAAATGTATCCTTTCTATTGGAGCAGAGATCACACACAGAGGAAAGCGGTCTGGAGCTATGGAAATGAACGTTTTAGAATTAAATACAATAATTTTAAAGAATGAAAGACATCTAATGAGCTGTTTATGAAATTATTTCATGCATAAGCATGGATTAGTGTGAGAGTGGGGGAAAAAAAAAGGCATGCTATCTTGTTTACATAGTTCACAGAAAAAGTTTCGGTGATTTCCCCCAGACTTACAGCCAGAATTTACTGAGATAGGAAGTTAGAGATCTTGTTCCTGATACGTTTAATATTATGGTTCTCATCTGCAAAGCTGGAATAGCTTAGAGAATCTCAAGGATAAGCAGCTGTTAATTTGTCAACTTTGTATTTGAAAGATTAGTTACTCTCTTATCTTATTTTGATTTTATTGAATGGGTATCTTGCTTACATAAAAATAGTCAGAAGTTCTTTTTGTCTGTATTAACATACAGTATTTTTATGTGCTTTATTTATTTCTTTTCAGCAATGGAGCTCTCCTGGAGTTTGCATACTTGGGGTGACATAATAATGGCTAAGGCAGAAGTTCTGTTATGGCTGGTATATTTCAAGGCATTTGAAAATGTCTTTAATACCTTCTATCTTCAGTTTCAGATGGCAGCAGTGTGGTTGGAACTGAGGAGAACAGTTTTGACCGCAGCTATGTGAAAAAGAAATTGGAACATGGGCTTTCACGAATATGGCAGGTATGTTTTTTAATTGTCTTAATGTTTATTGCCCCCAGTAAAAATTAGTTATATTTATACATATCTTTTTTAAGGAGAATTTTTAAAATAATCTGCTTTGAGCTAAATATTATAAAAAGCATGGAAATAAAATTTCCATGATTCTGTTACTACTTGGTCATGCTACTTACAAACTCAGTAAAGCTACCAAAGCACAGTAACGTGACTCTCGGGTGGTATCACCTGTTTGCTGCTTCATAGCACAATCTATTTTGTTCTCATTTCCTTTTTTTGTTCTGTTAAAGCAGTCATACTACTGTACATTTCCCTGCTTCGATAAGGCATCTTGAAATTAGTTTGTGACTCCCTCAGTTTTGAACTGGACATAGCTGATGGTGAAGGGAGTGCTACAAACCATTTAGTAAGTAGGAGCAGTGGGAAATTACAGTTTCCAAGATGTACAAGGAGCCTTATTGATCTCTTTTTCAATGCATACTATAGCATTCCTGAACTAATGGTTTGGGATATGTTGTGAGAGGTATGGAAATGGAAGAATTTAAAAAAAAAAAAAAAAGGGATGAACATGAAATTGAACATGGAAAACTGGACCTCAGAACTGAAAAATGGTTTTTGATGTCCATTCTGGTGCAAGCAGAACTATGGAGAATGTGAAATCTTGTAAACCTGACTGGTTTCATATTCTTAGCTGGATCATTTTAATACATCACAAGACCCTGAACATGTGATTAAAAAGAAATAATCCTTTTATGTTGCAGAACAGTAATACAAAGCTTGGCTTTTTCAAGTGCTATGAAGTGTATAGCATTATTATTGTATTGCTGAACTGATTATGTTATTATTTAAGAAAGTCAACAGGAAGTAATTAATGTTTCAGAAAATGGAGTTGTACACTATACCTCAAAAAGAAGCTATAAGTCGAAACAAACCAAAAAGTGCATTAATGTGGCATCCAAGCATTCGTCTTTTTGTCTTTAGTGTACTTTGTAAATAGAACCTCTTATTTTGCTTATAAATTTACTGAGGATTCATTAAATGGTTCTGAAATATTTGTGTTTTTGTAGGATGTTCAGCTGAAAGTAAAAACGTACCTTCTGGGAACAGATCTGTCTAACTTCAAATATGATGACTTCATATTTGTACTGGATGTTATCAGCAGGTATACTGACGTGGTCGTAAGGCCACTTATTACATGCAGACAAACTTCATCTCTGATACAAAGACAGCACGTGGTTAACTAAGGCTGATATTTACATTCTGATGCTAACTTTGATCCTATCTACTAATGCAGAGTTTAAAGAGTGCTCCTCTTTATGTAAGAATCTGCATGCCAGTTTTGTTGCCTGCACCAAGGTTGTATTTGGGAGAGGTAGCATGAGTTGCTTTGCTGCTCAAGTAGCCTCTAAGTGTGATAATATTTGAATGTTGGCCAGTTTTAAAATTTCAGGAACATAGACCTGACAGTTCTGATTTTTCTAAAACCTTTTAGTGGGCTTCTTGATATAGAGCAGCAAAATATTGCAGTACCCATACTTAGTCTGTACATCACTGTACATTGCAATACTTTCTGTTTTGGCAATAAAACAATGGATTCAGGTTGTGAGCTGTATAGTGGACGTTTTATTTTGCTAATGGCTTGTTATCACTGAGTATGGGATGTAAAGATAGGATTTGGAGGGAAATGAGACATGGAGTTTTGTGAAATGAGTGAAGGGTTTAGAGTGTAACTTCTCTTGCGAAAATGAGTGAGGCTAGAAATTTGGATAGGAACAGCAGTACTAATAAATCAATAAATATTTCTTAACTTTGCCTTATTATTGCAGGCTGATGCAAGTTGGAGAAGAGTTTTGTGGCAGTAAGTCTGAAGTTTTGCAAGAATCTATCAGAAAACAAAGCGTTAACTATTTCAAAACATACCACAGGTAAGACTACTCTATGCACTGTGAATGAATGTAATGATATTTATTATCACTGGTTTTAGTTTTAAATGAATTCCAGAGGAATTCCATTGAATAATGTTTCTGCATTGAGATTGGTAGGTTTCACTGATAGTGGAATATGTTTTGTGATGAGAATAGGGCTCTGAATCCTGGAGAAGGAAAGAAGATGGAAAAGCCAGAAGTTTCTGCTATCTGAATAAAGATGAAAAACTGTGTAATGTTTCAGTAGTTTTAAAAGCTGTCTCCTAATCTTTCTTGGGGGATTCTGAGGATGAATTAATCTAATGTCCATACATCCTGACAAAGTTGTTGTTTCTTTTTCTGGTGTTACATTAAAAGATCTTTCATGTGTGGCTATGATTTTTTTTTTTTTTTTTTTTTTTTTAATAAGCAATTTTATCTTATCAAGGTACTTAGATCTGTATCCATTCTTTAGTGTCAGTTTCCATGTTCTGTCATTGACAGTATCTATTTGTTTTTCAAACAGAGCTGCTTTGGCCTCAGTCTCTGCCCTCGTATATTCAAGACTTGTCTATTTATTTAAGTTGTCTTGATTTCCCAAATGCTTTGATTTGGGGACTGGCAGATCTTTCATTTTAGTTACCAAGCATTCATCTTTCTGACTTTAAGTAACTAGAAGATATAAGAAGAAATACAGCATTGTTCTTTGCTCTAAGAAGTTCTTAGTTCCTCAGTCTTGATCTGTTCTTCTCCATGACCCATTTTAGGTAACCTACTTTAACAGGGGACTTAGACTCAATGAGCTCTTGAGGTCTCTTCCAACCCCTGCAATTCTGTGATTGTCTGGGATCTGTATTACTAGCATATAGCTAAAGCATCAATTTGGTCTGAGACTTTCTGCCTAAAATTCATTAAGTATGGGAAATACTGATATGTTGTATGTAAGACACTGTCTAAATTCAGAAGGTGAGAACATGCTTTGGATTTTCTTCTGAATTGTTAGTTTATAGCTATGATTTCGTTTCAGATATTAAATGAAGACCTCTGTTTCAACTGAACCAGTTGAAAAACTGAACTGAAAAGCTAGAACCTTAACCACATGCCCGTTGTCTTGTTAGGAGATCAGTTACAATCTCATAATCAGGAGTCCAACTCTGGCCTCCACACAGCACCTCTGAAAATTCAAACTCTATGTCTGATAGCATTGTCCAAACCCTTCTTGAACTTCAGAAGCTTGGGGACCTGACCGTTTCCCAGGGGAGCCTCTTCCAGTCCCTGACCACTTATAGTGAAGAACCTTTCCCTAATACCCAACTGGACTCTTCCTTCAGAGCTCCATCCGTTCCCGTAGTCCTGTTTCAGTGACCAGATGACCTCAGCTGCTCCTCATATGTGTTTGCTCTCTAGGTCCTTCATCATCTTCACAGTTGATTAAGATGCAATGCAACTTTTCTATTTCCTAGAAGCATTTCTGAACTTTGAGCTGAGTTTACTGTACTGCTTTAGAAACTGACTTTGCGGCCGTTGATTCTTATGATCAAAACTGTTTGAGAAGAACTCATGGCAACTCTGAGTGAAGCACCATGAATCTTTTCACTTAGCCTGCTGTATGCTTTATTTTTCAGCATCTCTCTTCTACTCAGAAAAGCTGTTTTGGTCTATCTAAACCTCTTTTATTCATCAGATGTAGCACAATACCCTGCCTAATTAAATAATTATTGTTTGATTGTCGTGGTTTTGATTTTGATGATCTTACAGATTAGGGAGTAAGAGACTAATTGCTGAATTATCTTCAGACAAAATAAAGATTAAGGAATGAAATATTTAATTAAATGAAATTGAAACTATTTAATGAATGAAATTATTTAATGAAATATTTCAAAAAGTGATTACTTCTACATGTAACTTGTGTTTTCTTATTAAGGTAGTGCTTTCTGTCATTCTTGTGAGAATAAAAGCAGTATGTGCTGCTGAGATGCATGTTACGTTAACTTTTTAATACCTGTTCTTTGCTGTATGGGTATTGTGAGGATTATTGGTTTATGTTTTCATCCTCAAAAGGCAAGGAAAAATTAGCACAAAACAAAAAAAAAGCACCTCTATTCCACTCTCTATTCATGCTCTATAGCACAGCTATGTCCTTCAGACTGGCTTATATAAAAGAAAGCTTTAAATGTCTCAACTTTTCAGATCAAGCTGATGTGGCTTGCAGTCCCTTTATATACTTCAGTGAGGAGAAAAAAAGATAGTGCTTAAACTAAGAATTCATTAATACATAAAAGCTACACAGAACTGAAATGCTCTGAGTCCAGGAGTAATCAGTTCTTTGATTTTGTCATTTAGCATATGTGGCCTCCTACGTGTGGTGGTGTTTTAGAGAACTGGCAACATAGAGAAAATGCTAAAGGAACTGATCATATAATTCATCAAGAGCAGAAAAACAGTGTGATACTAGAGTGCATGAAGCCTTTTATTGGGTAAAAGTTGATTATTCGGAAAAAATTAGAATGGGCTTTTGGCAGCGAATGTTAGAAAGGGGATTTTAAATGCAATTTGACTTTTCTTTCTGATGCATTTGTTAAAAGGTGCATCCACCAAAGATTTTCAGAGAAAGAATTCATTATGTTTCTACTTGTACCACTTTCTAGGCTTATTTGCTGGTGAAAAAGCATCTGTTGAAATGCTTTGCCAGTGGCTTCATTCCATCTTTGAAATGATATGAAATATCATGCCATGTACCTTTTAAATGTTTGCTTTTCTATGAATCTCCTTAGCCTTCCTCTCAGAGAATTTTAATCTGAAACTGATTCTGAGAATGTCCATCTGTTGCTTCTGTTGGCTGCGGGAAGGTCTGCAAGCTATGACCACTCAACACCTCTAAAATCAGAGTTGAAATCTGTTTGCATTTAACTGATAAATTTAAACAGATACGGGAAAATGCAATCATAATTCAACTGATTTCTCATCTTGTCAAGCAAGAAAATTTTAATTGTAGCAGTGATTACAGTTTGTTATTCAAACAATTATATTCCTAGAATATTTTGCTGCCTAATTAGAAACCTAGTGTGTAATTTACCAACTGCTGTTCATTAAGCAAAACACTATTCTTTATATTAGGAAGAAGAGAGATAGCAGTATGAACTTGATAAGCACTCGCTGGTATCTTCCTGCTTATATGGCAAGAAAGGTTTTCCTTGTTAAAAGAATTTCTGCTTATTGTTGAATGGAGGCTCTTAGGATGTTCAGAAGTGTAATAGAAACAATGCAGACACATAATGGCCTGATTGTATTTTCTTAATACTTTTTCTGTGTTAGTACTGAGATTAAGATGTGAAACAAACTATAGCCTAGATAGTTCATTTAATTTTTATTTGATGTCTGTAGATAGTCTAGCTCTTTCCACTTCCATTTGTTACATGTTGGCTTCTGTTTGCTCATTGAAAGAAATTACCTGTTTTATGATGGCTCACAAGCAGTTGTGCTGGTGGAGTGTTTGTATGCATTGTGCTGCTTTCTATACAGAGAGAAGAAAGGTACTGGTTGACTGTACAGTCAGTTCCTCTATACTTTATAATGGTCATACTGAGTAATGTCAAAGAAAAATTGCTTCCAAGCTTTGGAGTTTGGCATTCTTTGATTATCTCCTTAAAGGTGCCATGAGGCAAACATTGCGTTAGTAGTCACAGTTTTTATGTGATTTGTCACTTGAACGAATGAGTAAGTACTGCCAAGTATGTGTTTTCAAGTGTGACTTCTTGTATGCTTTTTGAAGGCATCTTTCACTGCATAAATTGTCTGTTTTCTGATTTGCTCCTGCTGCCAATTAAAAGTAGTCGTTTGTTATATTTCAGAACCCGTCTTGAAGAACTAAGAATGTTTTTGGAGAATGAGACCTGGGAACTTTGCCCTGTTAAATCAAACTTCAGCATTTTACAGCTTCACGTAAGTTCTTTGAATAACACATATGAAAGTGTTGATACTGCAGTATCTAAGAGTGAGAAGTAACATATCTCTGAACTGCCATGAAAATGCTAAATGACTGTTTTTTAAAAAACATAAATTCATTTCAGGATTTTGGAAACTGTAGAATCCAAGGCTTTTAAGGCAGTGACATTTCTGTTTTAGGCAGGTAGAGTATTACATAACATGCTGGAATTGTAAGCATAATATTGGTCTTTGTTATTTCTTGTGTTTTAATGTGTCATTTATTTGTCAATTTTCCATTTCAAAATCATTATTCTGAGAAGATGGTGCTGAAAAAGAATGCCTAAAAATAGCTACCCTCCTTAGTGCTCACTAGTTTGGACCTGTTTTGGGAAAAGTAGGTCATACTGCCTGATTTGAGGAAAAGTATTTTTTCTATGGGGAAGTACCAGCAAAAACATGTCATGGGTGTGCTCACCTGCTGTACTATAAAGGGGTTTTGTGTAGTTTAGCATATGTTGGATGAATTTCACCTGTTTGGCCAAACAAATGTGGATGTCTATGATTGAAGCTATTATTAAAGTGCGAAAGGGATATAGCTGAGTGATGCAAAGGAAAAGGTAATCATTAGAAACTTCTTGTGAAATGGCTTTGAAGATTATAAAAAAATTAACTTATTTTTAAGGATAAAATATTAAAAAAAAAAAAATCTGCAATAGTAAATTGCTAGGTAATGTGTGTAAAACAAAAAAACAAAACCAAAACTGCATATTTGGATAAAATTATAGGTTGTTTTTATTTCCTTTTTTTTTTTTTTTTTAAATCGGGGGATTTTTTTCCAAAATCAGGTGAAAACTATTTTCAGAATGCAGAAGATGATATGTGATACATAACCAGCAACTGTTAAAATTAGAAATATGAGCACTGTAAGATTGCCAGTGTCAAGGTTAACTTGAGCCAGTATAAAAGTATGTTATTATGCTCTCTATTTTCATTAATCTGTAGTCATTATAATAATATTGAAACTGCCGTGTTGTGAATTAAAACTGTACTTTCTTTCTATTAATAGGAATTTAAATTCATGGTTCAGTCACGTTCCCCATCTGTGTCACCTAGTAAGCAGCCTGCTTCAGCAATTTCAGCCACGGTAACTTTATTTGAGCAGTACTGTAATGGAGGAAACCCATTTGAAATTCAGGCTGACAGCAAAGATGATGAGACAGAGGATGTGTTAGCTTCCAATGGGGTACGAGAAAAATTAAATCTAGATCTCATTAAGTGCTGTTGTTTTCATGTCAGTGATGGCAAAATAGTGCATGAATTAATAGGCTATAGTACTATTTAAGCTCTCAAGGCACTTTACTCCTATTAGACGAGTTACTTAGTTTTTTTTAACAGTGCCAGAAAGCTGGGCAATCCTTTTTTAATCCTTTTGGGTTATTTTTCAGCTGGTCAGTATTTTTCCATTGAAGTCAAATGTTCTGAAAAGCTAGTAAGATGCATTCCACTTCAAATTAGTACTTTTGCAGGGTTTTTTACAAAGCAATTAGATACAATGATTTACCTTCCTTGTGGAAGTAGTTTTTATTATTTTAGGAAGAGTGGCTTTCTGGCTTTGTAGGAAAGAATCATTACAAATTGCTCCTTCTGTTCTATTTGTTAATGCATGCATGCTTTCCAAGGGTTATCTGATGTTTGTTAAAAGCACATTTTTTTTATTGTCATTTGAATACTCAGGACACTCACTTTACTTTGTGATCCACTGCTGTGAAATTGGACAATGACTTCTAGCATATATTTTTTTCTACTCAACATCTAGTAATTGTCAAATATATTATAATTTATAGTGTAGTAGCATTCTCTTAAATGCTTTAAATTTTTTTTTTGTTTAAAATTTTGCTTCATTTTATTCTTTTGATAAATAACTTATTTATTTATTTTTGTGATAAGGCTGGGTGGACCTTAGTTTATTCAGTGTGCCATTCTAATGGTTGCCTGGTTTGCGTCTTTGCCTTTTGTGTTTTCTCTGTGGGATTTGATGTGTATCTCCTATGCCTGGGCATGATGCTGTCACCTCTTTCCTGCTCTGTCACTTGCAAACAACATGCAATTGATTGGTATGAAATATTGTTGCTTTATGCTTAAAAAATATGACAGAGACACAGCTACCTTGTTATAGTTATTATAGTATATAGTATAGTATATGGATAGTTATTCTCCTGTCAATGAGTGGAGCAGAATGTACATCCTGCCTTTTCATTTCAGTATACTGAGAAGAAGTGTATGGTTATCAGTGTTAAATATAGATTCCACATAAGCATGAACAGTAGGGAAAATGGCTGTTTACAAGGGTGGATAGTAACAGGACAAGGGGGAATGGTTTTAAACTGAGACGGGAGGTTTATGTCGGATATTAGGAGGAAGTTTTTTACTCAGAGGATGGTGACGCATGGAACAGGTTGCCCAAGGAGGTTGTGGATGCCCCATCCCTGGAGGCATTCAAGGCCAGGCTGGATGTGGCTCTGGGCAGCCTGGTCTGGTGGTTGGTGACCCTGCACATAGCAGGGGGTTGAAACTGGATGATCATTGTGGTCCTTTTCAACCCACGCCATTCTATGATTCTATGCTGAGCAAAGATGTGCTCCAGAGAATGCTAAGAACCATAGAATTCCGCAGTGCTGTATAGAAACCAGCTCCAAAACAAAGCTTTTGTGGAATCTGAACAGCTGTTTGGTAGGTATTTGTGAAAGGTCATAGTGAAATAATTGTTAATGATAATACAGTACTTTTGAGGTTTGCAGAAATTCAAGCTGCTGCTACTGGGGACTTGTTTTCTGACTTCAATACATTTGTGAGTAGTTGTGCTTTTTAAAAGATTTTTTTTTTCCTGAAGGAAACCTAATACAATTTATTATTATTAGAAACTAGTGACAGCTTTAAGACAGCTTTCTTGTGAAGGTTCACTTTTAATAAGAAAAGCTATCATCACCTGCAGTGTGAGTGCCAATGAGAAAATACTCAAATGTTTCAGGATAGGCTTTTTTAGGGAAAGGGCTTGTTTTGGTTTTTGGCTACCACTTGCAGGTAGGTAGCTGGAAATATGTGAAATTGTTTTCAAAAATGATAGTAACTTAGCTTCTGAGATTGGTTAACTTCTCCAGAACAGCAACAACAAAATAATTGTTGGTTGGAAATTTCTGGAAGTCTGATTCCATGCAATTCACTGCTAGCAAATGAGTGTGAATGCTGTGTCCAGACAGTCCCTGTAATTAATGCATTGCCTTGTTAGTAGTACACTGCAGTTCTAGAAGGCTGGGGTTGTCTTCATTTCTTAACTTGTAGGTATATTAAGGGATTTTTTTCTTTCTGTGGACGTGTGAGAAATCTGTAAGCTTTGCACTTAAGTTAGAACTGATCTGCTCGGTTTTTTTGAGTTGCGACATTTTTTTGATCCAGAATCTTTCATCTAACTTCAGTAAGATTTAAATGATGTGAATTTCCCCCATCCTATAGGCTTACGGTTCTGTGATTGTGAAATCACCTGAGGAAAACATTAGATAGCAAATACAGATGAATTCTACATGCAGTTATTGTTAGCTGTGTAGGGACTGCCATGTTCTGTGAAATCAGCAGCTCTTTCCCCTCAGAATCCTGCTTGTCATAGTGGAGGCTTATGAGCTGATTTTTTCTTGGGAAAGAAAAAGAAAAAGAAGCAGACCATCCCCCACCCCCAAAATGTAATGTAATTGTCCATGAAATTTTCTGTTATCTGTTGTGTTATTACAACAGGGAGTTGATGAATTCTGCTGTCCAGTCATCCTGAGTGGAAAATTTATTTTTTTATTCTGAACTTGTCTCTATCTGTTGAAATAATCTCAGTATTTAAAGGCTGCTATGTACTGATTGTTTACTGCTGTCTATTTTTTGAAGGTGCACGAGGCTTAGTCCTAGCCAGAGCTAAAGATCCTTAAATCAGTGATTGTTAGCTTGTCAACAATGACATGTTCTTTGCTTTGCATGCAGATGCTGCTGCAAACATATCCTATCAGGACAATCCATGCAGGGACAGGCCTGGGGTAATCCAGGGCCAGGGAGATGCACCCTGTGCTGCCAGGACTGGCTGCTTCAGTGGCTCAGTGCAGCAGGCTGTGCTTGTAGTGAATCAGGCTAGAGGGAGTCGTCAGTCCAGGAATCAGCAGTAGGTTAATGTGTCACAAGCACTGCAGAATCTGTTCTGTGGTTTCCCTGCCTTGAGTTTGACCCGTGTCCCATTTGGTAGGCTTGAGCACTACTGGGGACTTTCAGAGCTGCCTGCAGCGGTGTCTTTTTCGAAGCTGTGTGCCAATTTAGTGTTCTTTGCTTGTGAAACATTAATATATTTTAAATTGATAAAATCTGAATTTGCGTCTGGTGAAGAACTGTAATGAATTTTGGCTCTCCTTTAACACCAGAGGGACAGAACGTTCTGTGTGGAAAAAGTAAAATACCAATTACATGATTTCTTTTTTATTTTTCTTGTGAGGTCTAGGTTATATTTACAGCCATTCATACAATAATTTTGCTAACCTGAGTGTGATGTTATTGGCAGAACTCTGGAATAGTTTAGGGCTAACATATATTTTTGAAGTAAAATTTAAAATTATATGCTGTTTGCCTAATGTAATTTATAAGTGATTAGGGACAGTGATGCTTCTGATTTTTCTTCACTTGTGGAAATCTTTTGGGGTGAGTTTTGTATCCTTTATTTAACTAACTTCTTTCAGTATGGAGAAATGTTAAGTAATGCTGAAGAATGTACTGAGAGTGCAGATGACAGTGTTTAACGGTACTAAAAAGACACACAATTTCAATCATTGTATTTTACCTCACAGTCATTGAAGGATGAAATCCTTACTAAAATCTTTGCAAAGGAAGTGTTATTCACATTTAGATAGACAGATGAGGTGTAGAATAGGTTAGCTGGTACTAGAACCAAGGCTTCTGGTCACCTTGCTAGTGTACTCTTCTGGTGACTGTCCTCTGTTTCTATTTCATTAGCAGTTAAACTAGAAATTATTTCAGGTGGAGATTGCAGAATTTTGTTTCTTAAGAATGCAGATAGGTTTCCTGATATCTAGAGAAATGGCATGACAAGGCTGTGAACAACTGACTTCTCAGTGATCTGCAGGATGTTAAGAATTGTCAGTGTCTCATTTGAGAATGTTTATATTTTTTTCTTATTTCAGTTCTGGACAACTGAATGGGCCTTAGGGTCCAGTCACCTCTTTTTTTGTTTTCTCATCCTGAGCTTCAGTGAGACATTTTATGCCTATTTTCTGTAGCTCCCTAACACATTTTTCTTGTGATACAGGTAACTTTAGTTTTATAACACTCTTCAGTTTCAGTTAATCTTATTACAGTCCTATGTGTTAGTTTGCATTGACTACCTAAACACTTGATAATTGCAGTGGTAATTGCTAGTAGCCACAATAAATTATTTAGCACTTTGAGATGTTATTGCAGACTGTATTTATTGAAAATATGTTCTAGAAGGTCTCTAGTTTGTAATTGTGAGTTAATTATCTGCATTTTAAATCATGCAGGATTTTTACCTTGTAAATACATTTTCCAACTTATTAATAGGTTTAGATTGAGGAGATTAGAGAAGTATTTTCCATGTTTAAAAAAAATCATTTTTTCAAAACATTCTTATTCAATTAAGAGAGTTAACAATTTATAGTCAGCATATAATTTCACTATCACTGGATTTTAATTGAGGTGGAGCACATTATTTATTAATGCACAGTAAGTGACTGTAATTTTCCAGGTTAATTTTTTAGTCAATTTAGTTAAAATATGACTTTGTCAAGCCTGAAGTCAGTGCCTTTAATTATAGCTTTCATTTATCTGCAATGTTCATGAGGCAGAAACTTAGCGTATGAATACTACTGATCAGTCTGCTCCTCACATGTATGTTTTTGGTTTTTTTTTGTCTCAACTATTTTTGCTTTGAATTTGTTTGTCCTGTGGGCTTTCTGCTTTTTTAATATACTGCTTGCGTTGTGCTGTGCTTTAAAAACATTCATACCTTGGGGCTGTGGCAAAATTGCCAACCATAACTGAAAAATACATTTTCTAGTGTATTTTAGATGGTTGAAAGACTGACATTCCCTAAGTGTACCTTCATCAGTTTTCCTTTCTGGAAAGAACCATTTCTTAAAGATCCCAGAACCAGACTGACTTTGCCATGTGGGTCATTTTTTTTTTTTTTACTTCCTGGACAAAATGGCTTCAGAGCACAGCCTACATTAATAAAAAGTTGAAAGTAAAAGTATTGTCTGTCTTCAGCTGAAAATGCATTTCTGGAGCCTGGTACGTAACTTTAATACCATGTAAGAGTTCAGGAAAATGGGTTACATCCATAGGGCATCAAGTGTAATTTTTCCTTCAATGTTTTGTGGATTAAGAAATTAACCTAAAAAGAGGTAAATACATAACTTTACCTCGTTATTATGAAGTGTTTAAAGCAGCTCTACTGCAGAGCAACCAGGAATACTTGGAAAAAAAATCTACCTTTAAATATTACTCTGAGTGGAAAAAAAAGATTGCAAATGTCAGATTTTTTTTACCAAAAATAATCCTAACTGTATAATACATTTTAATGTATGTGTGGTTTCATAACTATAAAAAGCACTTATTGTATATTTCAATTTCTGGGTAGTATTTGTCCATATAACTTGTAATCAAGCAATAACAGTATATGTGTAGTGTGGAAACCCTATACTGCATTATGTGTGCTGCAGCTTGCGTTGGTCCTGTTTTCACTCATCAGTTCTGAGGTCCATACCGTCTATCCTTACATCAAACAAAAGTTTCTTGTAAGCTTTGAAATGCAATGGAACAACTGAACAGAAGAAAACAATTTCAAACAATTAAAAATGTCTGAGTTTTTGGAGGCAACAGTTGTGTCTGTAGCTACTTAAGGTTATTTTTCAGATGTTGCAACTTAACATTGGTCTTCTGTGAGAGGGCAGTTAGAGCAGGCTTCCTGGTGAGGTGGTTGATGCTCCAGGTTTGTCAGTGCTCAAGAGGTATTTGGATAATGCCCTCAATAACATGCTGTAATTTTGGTTAGCCCTATTGTTGTCAGGATTGGACTCAATGTTGTTGGACTCAATGATCTTTGAAGGTCCCTTCCAACGGAACTAGTCTTGTTCTGTTCTTTCTTCTTGCTTTCTTTCTCTCTCTTCTCTTTCTCTTATCTCTCAAGGTAGTATACAGGGATAATTTAGTTATATATTCATGTTTTTCATAAGGTTATTCTGGTCTGTGTTGTGGGATCTGTGTGAAATGATGCGTATGGTGCGTGAGGCTCAAAACAACCACTAATCAAGTCCTATAATAGGGAGAACAGACCCTTTTTCTCTGTTCCCTATTGATTTGTTCCAGTAATACAGCCAAGTTATATCACCACAGTGTTACTTAGAATATTATACTGTATTGTGGGGTGGTTTTGTTTGTTTAATTTGTTTGTTTTGTGCATAAGCTAAGACTTAACAAGAGGGGCTGCAGAAGTCTGTTTTCCTGCATGCTCTGCAGTTTTTTTGCTTGCTTCATGTACACTGTGAACTTTGTGTAGAAAAAGATACTCCTATATACAAAGTTACTGTTCTGGCTGTTGGTGTAGATAGAACAGCATGCAGGTGGAGGGAGTAGATACAGAAAACAAACAAACAAACAGAAAAATACAGAAGAAAAAAAGAAAAGCCAAACAAAAATAACTGTTACTGTTATTAGAGCAGCCATGAGAAATACTTGCATTTATGTTTGTTTGTTTACAGTATGAATCTGATGAACAAGAAAAAAGTGCCTATCAAGAGTATGATAGTGACAGCGACGTTCCTGAAGAGTTGAAAAGAGACTACGTAGATGAGCAGACAGGAGATGCCCCGATGAAGAGGTCAGTATGCTCAGTCTTATTTACATGTGTTTAATCTCGGTACTGTAATTTATTCTTGATTCAGTCTCTACAGTAATTGAATGATAATCAAATAATCTTTACCTGCACAGTGTGAAAGGCTCTGAATTTAGAATTCCAGGATGGAGAGGAACTTTAAACTGTTCACTGTTATTGCAAAAAGAAACTTTGGGAAGCAAGATTTTGAAGGAAGATAAAGGCTCTCTGAAGAGGTTGTGAAAAAGCAAGCATTAGGCATTCTTCTATAACTGCTGTTATATATATGTGTAATTTTTGTTGCATCAATGGGATCTTTTTGCAAACAAATGACTTGAGAGTTGTATTTTTACAAAATAGTAACCTTTTAGAAATTTCAGACAAACAAACCAAAAACCAAACAAAAGCACTGTACCGTGTAGATTTCTATTCAGCCTTTATGAAGCAAGCTCACCTTATTTGTATGGAAAGGGTTTCAGAAGTACTAGAAGGGCACTGCTTGGGTCAAAAGAGAGGAATTTTTTTTAATTACAAAGTCATTCTAGAATAAAATATTATCATGGTTTCATCATACATTGCAAACTACGTCATTTCAATGAAATTCTAGAGATATTGATAAAGATTAACTTGTGGGGAAAAAATGCAGTGAGTGAAATTGTATTACGTTGCATTACGGCTGTGTACTGTGGTATTGTAATATGATGAACTTTTGGTTGAATATTATTTTGAGGTGTTTTTTCTTTTTTTTTTTTTTTTTTTTTTCTCCTTAGTGTTTCTCGAGAAACTCTGAGGAGCAAAAAGAAATCGGATTATAGCCTCAATAAAGGGAATGCACCTATCCTGACAAACACTACACTCAATGTAGTAAGGCTTGTTGGTATGTTGAACAATTGTTGGAATGTGTGTTTTTTATTTTAATACAAACCTATGGATTCTAGCAAATATATTCAATGAATTCTAAAACACTTTAAAAACACGAAGTTGGACACCGTTTCCACTTTTCAATGTGTGGTAGTTTGGATGAGGTCTCAGGGGGTGTATCACTGTGTATTGCAGTTTCCTGCTCTCCAGTGGCATTGCCTCCCTTTGGATTTCTCACATCTTCCTTTTACTGGCAGTTCAGTCATTCTGTAATGCACCTTATGCAGCCAGCAGGTCCTGCACTTTACAATTTTTTTCCAAGGGATGAGCCTCTAGTTTATTACAGAAAGATACATGTTTTAAATTAATTGATCCTTAAATGCATGGCTTTACATTTTGTACTACTGAATTTCATTAGATTCTTTCTACAGCAGTCATCAAAGTTCTCTGGTTCCTCCTGTACATTATGCCAATCCATTTCTGCTTTGATGGTACCTCCTTATTTTTTTCCATTATCATACTCTTTATTTTTGTGCCAGAGTCATTCATGAGGATTTGTAAGAAGAGTTGTTGGAAACTCTACTAGTAGCTTTTCCAGATACTTCCCTTTTCATCACACTCTGTTCTGCCTTCTCTTTTACTGAACAGTTGACTAAATCCCAGATGGGTAAAAATGTACTGTGTTCTTTGTCTAGAAAAGCAAATAACATTTGTATCAAGAATATTTGTCTTAATTTGATGTAGTTCACATCTGGTAGATCCATGAGTTGTTTTATGAATTTTGCCCCATATAAAACATACAGGTAAGCATGGTATTGTTCGCCTGATTTAGCTGAGCATTATATGTCTGTTAGTATGAGATCTAGCTTTGATCCAGTCCCTTGGATTCTCCTCTGGCGGGCAGGGATGCCATGGAATGTGCCCGTCTTTTAACAAATGTCTCTGCTAATGCCATTGAAGGTTTCAGTTCATCTTGTGCTGTCATTGGATTTTGGCTAGGAAAATGCCATGGTACATGACACTGTTCAGTTTCAAGGAGTGTAACTGATGGGTATTTAGGATTCTTTCATTATCAGTTGAGTAGAGTAGACAGCTCCAGAAGGTATAGGTATGTCATATGCATCAGAAAGCCTGTACTTAAAGTTTTGGCCCTTAAAAACAAGGCTATAATTTCAGAGATATTTGTTTTGGTGGTAGTAGCAGTAAGTAGCAAGTAGCTTTTGTCCCTGCTACATATTGTCAATGACATGCCTGCTTCCCATATATTTTCATTAGTATGGCTTTTAGTATATCTTTCTAGATCAGCTTCTCCCTCTTAGTTAAAAATAAATCATAAGGGAAAGCAAGTTAATACAGGAGATTTGCAGTGAGATTATGATGGAATTTTAAATTGCCCACTCAAGTAGAATAAATTGTTTTTTGTGTTATGCAAGTAGTAGTACTTGCTGAAAGAATATGATGCTGCTCATAATAATTTTGAGCTATTTCTGGGGGCTATGTTGTAAGGAGGCTAGATGAATAAAAGTGTGATTTACTATATATTTAATAAAAAGTTTATATGAGTTGCTATGTATAGCTGAAGTAGGAGGTCATATAATTGTTGAATTTGAATTTCAAGTTTACAGTTCAGTTTATTTGTTTTTCCATTAGGTTAATAAATGAGGTAGTTATTTCTCAGTTTGTTTCTAGTATAACGCAATAATTAGATTAATTTGATAGGAAAAAAATAACCCTATAAACTCTTGCCTGTTGACTTAAAACTTGAAGGGAAAATGAACTCATGATAAATTGTTATAGAATATTGAGACCTAGGGTCAGTGCATCAACAAGAATATTTGCCATTGTGAGCACTGATTTTTTTTTTTTTTTTTTTTTTAATTAATGTCATCCATACTTAAGAAATGGGTTGGGTTTGTCTGATGCCTTCTTTTTTGCGTCATTGTTACTTCTCCCATGGATAGTTTTTTATGAAGTAACTCTTAGATTTGGCTTGCTTTAAAGCTCGTTATCTTTGGAGAAAATAATAGTGGTGGTGACAAATCTCACAGCTGAAAACTTTTTGCTGAAGAAGTGAATGGACATGTAGCATAGGACTTCATGAGCCTTCAAAATAAGAAGAAAAAAAAAGACAGGAAAAAACCAAAAACATAAAAAAAACCCCAATGATAGTCTTTCAAAATGATGTAACTACAACGTGCTTTTTGTGGTTCCCTTCAAAATGGCATTTTAGCCTCTTATGTATGTCATAGCAAGCTGCATGTTTGGAATTCAGACACTCACTAGAATTTATAATAACCGTAGATACACTGAAACTCTCATAAATATATGGAGGTAGTGTATTTTGCTCACTTTTTTTGGTTTTAATGATCAGATATATGTAGATCAGTCCAATAGAAAAAACTGCTGTCTCGAAGGACAGAATAATTGCTGGAGATACTGAACGCTTCCAGAAAAACCCCAAGCAAACAACAAACATACAACAACAATAACAAAAAAAAAACCACCCTGGCAAATGTTCAGGAGATTTGTCCATTATGAATTGTTTATAGAAAGTAGAGCTACTTTGACTTACATAAACTCAAAGTGGTGTTTACAAGTATTTCTGGAAATTTCTGGTGTGGCTGTTAGTGCTGTTTGGGAATTTTCTTGTACATGTTTTTCACCCAAACCATGAACTTTACTGCAAGTAGGTAACAATGTATAGAGGTTAAAATTTGGCATCCTCTTAGAGAAACTAAGGAGGAAATGTTCTTGGAACACTTTTGTGTAAAGATGCTGAGTGATGTAGTAATAGAGAAATGTTCTTGGCTACAGAAGATTTTTATAGGGACAGTGCTTGGGCAGTGCATAGCCCTTTGGAAAAGTGTAGGACACTGCCCAAGAGACTACCTTGCGTGTTTATGCCAGCCACACAGATATTTGGAAATCTAACTGTCCTGAAAGTGACACGTCACCCATTATTATGCATAGGTTGCAGGCAAGTTTGAGAACTGCGTTTACCTCAAAATCAGTGGAAAAAATCAGCCCGTAGCAATAAAAATATTCAGACACACATGAAGATGGCAGCTACTTTGATAGCGTATCATCCTTTCCAAACATTCATAAATTTCCATGTAGACTCTGCTGAAATTAACTGCATTTGTTGTTCCCTTTTGGAAAACAGATGGAACATTTTAGATCTGCATTTCAGTTTATTCTTAATGCTGTAGGTCAAAACATTGATAACTAAGAGTGGAATTAACACCTGGGTTAACCTGCCAAATTGTTAGATACTTTAACTCTTGTCAAATCTCCAAAAATAATGAAATATATTCTTGAGTGTGTTGGCAAACTGAGGCACAGTTGTGTAATATTCAGGCAGGTTGTTTAGGCTAGATAGGGATGTGAAAAGCAGCAAAATCAGGTTTTGCTCAATTCTTGCCATAGTGCTGTATCATCCCACGATAGTTGTGTCACATATTTGTCAAATTAATGTGGTCTTTTATGATCACAAGTAATTGTTTAAAAAATCAAGTTACTATCCCTGATACTAACAGCTAAATTTGATACTTGATTTCTCTGTGTAAAACAATATTTTCTCTACTAATTAGTAAGTTAGTTTGCTGTGCACAGTGTTAACTTTAAAAATGTTGCTGACTACAGGAGAAGTAAATTATTTTGGCACCCTCACGCAGAATCTTATCAACCTGTCACATCAAAACATGTCTGAAATATGATATTTTGTTAACTGATCTGCTATATCTGACATGCTGGATGAACTGAATTTACATCTTCGTTCAAAAGTTGCTGTCCGTAATAACCCAAAGTTTATTATATATTTTTGTATTATTATATGTATTCTATATATATTATACTTCAATCATCTATATAGTATCTATATTAAAATACAGATACACTGTTGAGATGCAAATGGGGCAAGTAGTATGTCATTTCTGAACTAGCCAGCAGTAAGTCTAGGGTCTCAGAAAAAGAAGTTTTTCTTTAAGTACACTTTTCTTATGACCCTATGGAAAAACATTTCCATGCCCTATGCTAGAAAACAAAATAACTATAATTAAACCTGCAGGGAAAAATTGCTTTCTGAATTCAAATCCTATAATCAGTTTGATTCAACTAAAGCATAAAGGCAGGTCCTGATATTCTTAATTTTTTTTTTTTTTCCCTGAAGTCAGATGCACAGCAGCAGAGAGCAGGATGGAAGAGAAGGAATTAATTTTTTCCCTGGATGTCTGTATTTTAGTACATTCAGTAATACGTGCTAAAGTAGAAAATTAATCCAGTGAAATGAAGTAAACAAATAGTAGTTTAGTTTTTCTTCAAGTTCTGCTTGGATTTGCCTTACAAAATTTCCATTCCTTTTGATTTGCTTTTGCCAGCAATTGTTGTATTCTGTCATCCTACTCCTTTAGAAACATTTCCAATGTACAGCTGAAAACAATTTGGTTTTCTTGCCTTGTCTTTTTCTGACCTGATCTGATTCCACCGCACTACAGAAATGCCAGTGCTCTTTTGTACAACACAGTCCAAAGTTGCAGAGGTAGTTTTTTTGTTTCGTTGTTTGTTTTTTTTTTTTTTTTTTTTTTGCTTGTTTATTAGCCTTTGTTTCTATTTTTAAGTGTGTGTCTGTGTGTCTTTTTGGTGGTTTGTTGAAGGGGAGGGATCCTCTTAGGAGCAGCTCCTCTTAGGAGTCTGGAGCTTATATATTCTTCATCTTCAGAGCTGATAGAGCAGTCATTTAGCAGATTCTTGAAGTGCCTGCAGTGGAAATCTCTCTCCTTGATCAGAAAAAAAAAAAAAAATTAGGTAGTCCTTTATGGTATATTGTTTGTAAAAAGTGAAGGAAAAGAAAAAAAAGGAAGGTTAGCAGGAAATGATAACACGCAGATTTGAAACACATGATTCCTAAACTCCCAGTTTTGGGTATGTCATTTTTATAATGTACTTTCCTATTGCTTGTAAGATGTCTGTATGTGCATATGTAAGCACTCACTAGTGTAAACATCTTGAATGGCTCTGTGTATCATTTGCTACAGAGTACTTACAGGGATCATTAATCTGGGGCTGAATTAATCTGAATGTTGTGGAGGAATGGGAAGGTCTTATGTTTTGAACTTGATACCAAAAGGCTAAAAGAATTGTTCAAGACATTTTGATACAGACTGACAACCTCTTTTGGAGAAGTCTTGTGTCATTTTATGTGTCTTAGTCATGATATTTACTTTTAAACCTCCTTATCTCTAAAACATTGCTAAATTGCATTTGATCAATATTCAAGGCTAATTAATACGGTTTGCAAAAGCATTTTTGAGTCTGTGAAGCTCACCACTGTCCTTGTTACACTTGCGCTGAAGAGTCTGATCTTCTGTCTTCATTTTCAAGGGAAGTATATGCAGATGATGAACATTCTCAAGCCTATTGCATTTGATGTCATCCACTTCATGTCCCAGCTCTTCGACTACTATCTGTATGCAGTCTATACATTTTTTGGCCGAAATGATACGGTAGGTAGAAAAGATATTTATTTTGGAGTATCAGAGTATACACAGAATGAGAATACTGAGGAGCAGTCTTTACTTAAAACAGCACCAAATATATGATTCCCCAAAAAATGAGTGTTACCAGAATGGATCTGAATGCAGGAGTAAGCTAAGGCTGATTATCTAATTATCTAAATGGCTGTCTGATTATCCAATGCAGTGAGGAGAGTAAGCATAGGAAGCATCATTGTCACTGGGACATGAAACCAATTGCATTTGAATAGGTACTCAGTATTCAAATATTTTGAATGGAGAAGAAAGACAAGTACCTGGAAGTAGTGGCAGAAAGTGGGGAATAAAGGAGCAGTCTGCAGTGGATTGGATCCCAGAGAGGTTTAGGTGATTTGGTTGTTCTGTATTTATTTCTCAGACATAGACATGAATAGCTGAAGAGGAGAAGGGTGCCCTGAAGGTTGAGTAGTAACTCAGATTTAAGAGGTTTGAAATAGTTTTTCAGATCTATTATCTCTCTGTCAACCTAATTGGATTAATAAAAATATTTTTGGGCTTTGAGTATTCTTGTAGTTGAAATAAATGCTTGTTGGCAATGTCTGTACGTAACGTGGATCTTTCAGCAGAATTGTCTTAAAGCATTTAAAAGCTGCACGTAAAAACAATTTTATCCTCTTTTGGCCCCTGGATTATTTCACAGCATTAATGTAACGGGGTTCCAAATTCATCATCATCTTTTGGCAAATCACAGTGGATTTTCGGACTGTCAACATATGGTTCTAAATGGTTTTGAGCTGTTTGGCAGGACAAATGCATTTGCAATTTGTATTTAGAAGATGAGTGGTTTTTTTTTGTTTTGTTTTTTGTTGGTGATGGTGAGTTTTGTTATGTCTTCTGTTAAACTAGTTGATTTCCATTGGCTTAATCAGCTACTTTGCTATTCACATTGTGTTACATTTGGGTTTTGTGTTTTGTGTTTTTAAAGCCTATGCCGAGTTCCTCACTTTCAACTTCTAACAGAGAACAGCCCAGTGCTAGGCAGGTAAATGCTATAGCAGATGAATGGTAAAATTGTATTGCTTTCCTAGTGTGCCTAATTTTTATTTTGACAAATGGTTTTCTATGGGAAACATAACCCTTACCAAGGTTCTACAAATAAGATAAAGCCTCTTGTAATGCTCCTTGAATGTTCTCAGTTCTCACTGTGTTTTAAACCTTTAAAAAAAAATAGAGATGGTTGGTGGAATGTGATTTAGACCTAGACCACTGTCAATGTTCCTGTTGTAATTATTTATATATATATATATATATATATATATATATATAAATGTGTGTGTGTATATATATATATTAAAAAAAATAATGGGATTCTTAGAAATATGTTGGTATTATAACCTCCTTAAGCAATTAAAACACTGTGCCCATGTTATTTGTGTGAGTTACCACAAGAGTGATCAATTGTATGCAGTTAATTGCCCGTTCAGTGAAAATCAAGGATTGTGTTGACTGCTGTCTGGTGTTGTGTCATTGTCCTTTCCAGAACTCTTTAGAACAATTATCCTATGTCTTCACTGACAAAATTTGCACGCTATTGTAATCAGAATTGTTCTTTTCAAATTCTTTTTAATTCCTGGGGTACATGTTAAGTCTTTCTTTTTTATCTCAAATTTTGGAAAAACCTAATACAAAATTAAAAGAAAGAACCTTTATTTAATACCTATTCACTAAAGTTGTGATATTGATGAACGTATCACAGAATAGTCTTCCTTAGAGAAAAGAATTTAAGGCGAATTTTAATTTTTTTGACAACACATGCAAATATATAAATCTTAATGACCATTTTTACAGAAAACACTTGGATTTTTTTTCTGTAAAATAAGTCACATAGAACTGGTGATGAGTATAAATTCTCTAACGCTAAACTTACAAAGTCATCAGTTTGTGACATTTAAATATCTGCTGTTTTGCATGTATAAATAGCAAAAACTTGAAGTAAAAAACTTTAACTATGTAGCAAAACAATTATACTGCTGAGTGGTGTATTCTGTTTGAAGCTGTGAGGTTTTAGCCTTGGGGGGGGAAAAAAGTGCAGTAGTACAAGTGTTTTTCTGGTTTTTGTTTTACTTTCTTTTGTTTTCCTTATAAATATAAATGCACTGCTTTGGGCAGTGCCTGATGAATCTGGAGCTCTTGAGTTGTAATGTTTTATGGAAATCTAAATGTGTTTATTCATTCCTTATTATTCATAAATGTTTCAAGGGTGAAATGTCCAGTTTTTAAAAAAGAAATGTATTATTAAGAAATATTTTATTAAAATACTATTAAAAAATAAAAATTTTAAAAAATTGATAGCTGTGAAAAGCTGGTGTTGGAAAAGCAAGAAGAGAAAGGGTTAGTGGCAGATTGTGGTGTGTATTTTGATGGTGCAGAAGAGAATTGCTTAAAGTGAAATATAATGGCTTAAACTTGCAAATATATTTTTAATAGATATATAATTCTTTTCCTTGCAGTTTTTGTTTTCCTGCTCTTTTTTACTTTGATAGGGCAAATAGCTAGTCCTGAGTTTGCAATCATTGTGGCCATAACTTGAAGAACTGTTACATGATGTTAAGGATGAAATAAAAGATGATTTGGGAAATGAAAAGTGTGTTAAAGAGTAAGGGGAAAAAAAGCAGATTTTCCTTTTTACCCATGTACCTGCAAAACTGAAGGCAGCTCAAAACTGCTATTTCTATAGTAAAAATGTGAATAAAAATGCACACCAAAAATACCCCACATTTTTATCTGGAACATTTTATCAGACAGGGGCATTAGGATACTGATCTGTGTCTCCTGGATCAAATTCTAGGTTTCAGCAGAGAATACTTCCAGTGGTAATTCTGCTGCAAGGTAATTTTCACTGAGTGTATGGGGAGATTAGGATGTGTGGACATCTTAAATGAGAAAGTTTAGATGCAGTAAATAGGGACCTCAGTTATTCCCTTTTGTATGTAAAATGAGGGATTGGACTTGACTTTCTTCCCTGATTCTGTGCATTGAAAGGGAGTCTAATATCATAGACATAATTGCTCTAAATATTGTTTAGTAAATTGCTTTTTTGGTGTGAATCACATACCAGATCTGTATTCAGATACTTCCAGTTTCTTAAACAGTATTTCTTACTTATCCCATTTCCACTGTCTTTTGGTTTGTGTGTTTGTTCTTGTTTCTTTGTAACTGGAAATAGAAGACAAGTAGCTATATTAATTACACATCAGATCAGCCCCTCAGCTGGTATAATTCATTGCATCTATCAGGCAATGAATGTTAATTTATCCCAGTTGAACACCTTCCCTGTAATGCTGCTGAGCCATGAACATGAAGATGGCATGTTCATTAGATAAATCTTTATAGACATTAACTAATAACAACTGTTTTATAAAGATCAATGGCTATAATTATACAGTTGCAAGTTAGATATTCAGTAAGGGATTACAAGAAACTTTATAGTCAAGGCTATTTGGCCTGGGTATGGTATTCATGCAAGTCTCACTGGGGACACTGTGATGTGCCTTTTGGGCACAAAATGCACATCACAGATGACCAGATGAGGTCATCTTGGGTCCTGTGCCCATATACGATGTGTTATAAAGCATGCTGAATGCTCATTGACAGAAATGGTAAACTGTCATCTTCATGAAATGTGCTCAGGCCATCCTTTACATAAGTGTCATGCTAAATGCAGTGACCTTGTTGATCTTCATTTTGTAGAGTTACAGTTATGTATTAAAACTTTAATGTGAATAAATTGTATCCAGTGCTTACAAACTGAAGTTCTGTTGTATTGCCGTAAACCTTAAACCAAGGATTTTTACTTTCCAAACTTAAGTAGAATATATTTCTTCCAGTTTGAATCAACAGGATTGGGCCTCAGTAGTAGCAGATTACGCACCACACTGAACAGAATCCAGGAGAGCCTCATTGATCTAGTAAGTATCTGGATTTGGAGTATGAAACAGGGGGCTGTGTCAGCAATTCATCAATTGTATTTCGTCATAACTTACTGATTTTTCTATTTTTTTCCCCCTATCTTCTCATATTTGATGTAAAGACAAAAACTGTTTCTTGGTATATAGTAATGTAGATATCATTACTGTGTAAAATCATTTGTTCTTGATGCGCACTAGAATTAGTTTAATAGCTTCTACTAGATGTAACAACACAATTACGCATTTAAATCTTAAAATGTTTTATGGCTTATGTAATAAAAGCACAGTGATGTTCCAATATTGTCCTTATTAAATTAAACCTTCTACTAAAAATACACCCAACTGTAGCACGAGAGACAACTCATTTTTTTCAGTGAAAGAACAGCAGAGCAGTAAGCCATTGATAAACAAATTCAGTGTATAAAATCATTAATATGTTAAGTGCTTTGTTATGTCACGTCTGAATATTGTGGAATGTTACCTGTTGTATTTAATAATTATATCACATCAGTCATTTCATGAGTTATTTTCAGAAAGTGAAAAGTAAATATGGTGCTTATGTCACAGTGGTAGTTGATTACTGTTCCTTCACATCACATTACAGCATTACAGTACAGGAGTCTTCAGGTAGGTTTCATAGGCTCAACTGAGGAGCAGTTCATAAAGAAATATAGGTGAGAACTCTGCAAAAATGGAACTGTGCACTTTTTTTTTTAACCTAAATATAAAACACTCGAAACATTGTGAAGAAATGTATTGAGTGTTGTAAATAGGATGTAATGTAATTAATACTGCAGATAATAGAGGAAGGATTCATTTTTGAAGGCAGAAGTGGGATGCAAATGCTGTACTTTGACTTTCATAGGGATTTGGCACTCCACAGAATTGTACTAAAGTGCTTTTTTGAATTCCTTTGAACATTCAGAACAGTCAAATTCTAAATTGTTCTTTTAGAGAAGCATTTTAAGGGAGTTTGAGTCATTTCTTACAAGGTCAGTAGAGGGAGCATAACATAACTAATAACCTCCATAATGCAGAAAAAGGCTAAAGTCATTTTGATATTTATCTCAAATGCAATGTGTTCAGAAAAGGAAAAAAAATAAAATAAAATTAGGAAGATATTGCAGACAAATCAGTTAAGGATTTGTCATTATTGCGGAAAAATGTCAAGAATAATTGAGAATAATAACTGGATTTCTTTTTCGTCATCAGTAACAGTACTGTTACAGATAATGCTAGTGTCCTTTGGGATTAATAGCTGTGTCTGTTAACTTTAAGCCGTTTAATTAAATGTATTAATCTTACGAATTTATGAATTTTATGGACTTACACTGGTCTTACGCTGTCAATGGGAATTTATTTTCTGGGTATTTCTGTTACTATAATCACTATATACTATAAGTATATTCTCAACTAGTTTTTATTCTCATTCTATGCCTGAGGCTTTGTCAGAACTCAATAGAGCTCAAACAAGTTCTCATTAATTTCTCAGTACCAGTGAAGGTAGAACTCTACTATCTGTCTTAAGACTATTCAGAGGTTTAGACTGGGTCATTCCATGAGGAAAGAGGATGATACAACTTTCAGAAGTTTGTTTGATATGTTCTGAATTTCGTACGTACATTTGAACTCCTCAGTCAGCCCTTCCTTCAGCAAGTGAAAGGTAGCTTCAGTACATTTCTTCTACACAACAACTTCAGAGATAATAATTCTGATTCTCCAGAAATAGAAGTCTACAGGTAGCAGGATGTATTAAAAGAAAGAGAGAAGAGTGATTCACAGGGTGAAGGTGCAGCTTTCATTTGTCCAAACACATTGAAATAAACATGTTTTGAACAGCTTATGTCTCCTCACTGCCAGTTCCCCAAGTGGGAGGCATGGGGAGATCTATACACATTCCATCCTTGTGCTTGTCATTCCTACCAGGACTGTGTTTTTGTGATAGTAATGATGCTTATTAATCATATCAATTCATGGCGACCAGTAAGCACCCAAGTAGATATTTGGCATCGATCAGACAGTGATCTGCAGTAATTGGTGATTTGGAAGGGAAACTTCTGTTTACGATGCCTTGCTTTATCTATTTCTAAGCAACTTCTTTGCTTAGTCACAGTACTGCCATTACCTAGACACTGTTTATTAATGTCCTGTTCATGCAAATAGCTGCCTTAGACGATACTGCTGCTTTCGACAGTGATGTATTTGGAGCAGATGAACAGAATATCCATAAATATTTCATTGCAAACTGGTTTCCTCATTTAAAACTGAGATTTAGAATGAAGTTTGTTAGTTAACGTGCCTTACAGAAGTAGAAAAATAAATTACTGCAGTAAAGTGTATAAGCATTTAAAGGCAATATGTAGAACAGCAGATGGAAAAAATTGCTTGTATGGAGAAGTATTGTTTAATGTATTTTAGATTTTGTCTTTGCTTTTGGGGTCTTTTCCCATAAAGTGTATCTTCTGGTGATGACAGTAGGTTAGAGACTGATGGTGCAGAGATGAAAAATTTAGGTTCTCAGCTGCACAAATATGATAAGGAATATTGCAGGGAACGTTTTTCTTTCTGCACACCTGACTTTCCAACCCATCTTGCAAAGATATTTTGTGCTCTTTTTTTCTTTAAATAGATTTATACAACATATGTAATGACAGTTTATGGTGTTGTGTGAAGTGCTTGTCAAGAGAAGAAAATTCTATCTGTAAAAAAGAAAGTCTTGACGTGACAGACACTTCAAAAATATGATAGGATGTTGCAGCTGCTTTGCTTCCTCACATTATTCATTCAGAGCTCTCCACACTTGTTTGTTTGTTCAGCAGAATTACCCAACTTGACTGGAATAATCTACTGAAAATGAAAGTTTTCTGGCTTATTTGTTCTTATTTGTTTGAATAAATTTTCTGGTTCTTGGCAACTGTTGTGCCCCTCTCTTTGGGCAGTCACTGTGCCGTCTCACATCAGTCACTGGTAGACTTTTTTTGCTGGACAGCAAAAGCTTGGGCTGATTTCTAGTCCCAGAGGAATGCCAGTCAGAGCTGAGCACCTCGGAACCAGCAGCAGCTCTTAATGAAACTGTCTTTGGATTAAAAAAAATGTTGCAATAAAAAAGTGTGTGATCAAATCAGCTTGACTTACTTTGTTTAGATAGATGCTGAGATTCCCAAGGAAGTGCCTTCTCGTGGAGGCTTACCTGTAGTGTATTTTTTTTAAGCATTTTACCATTCATTTTCTCAGCACACAGTGATTCCTGACACAAAAGTTTTTGCATTAAGCTAAACAAGGCACTAAGCTTGATGATTTCTGGAAGTTTTTTATGCAAAAAGTCTGCCATTTATTTTGGAACACTAAGAGATAATTGAAATGCAAAGGTCCTGTAAGTTTCTACCCAAAGTTTTTTGAAGTCTGTTACTGAAATCAGTGAGACTGGCTCAGCTGAGGTGTGGGAAATCTTTGTTTTGTGACAAGGATGGTGAAGGAGCAGTACTGTGGGACTAGGTTAGTGCTGCCAGTGCAATTGGAAACTTCAGGCATACCGTGAGGCAACGCTGGTGAACTCAACTCTGGGGGCAGTGAAAAGTACTTGCATTGTAAGGTTGCTTGCATGGCACTTCATAATGCTGTAAATTGCCTGCAGAGGATTATAAATAAATAGAAAATTAATAGAATAGATTCCCAAGAGAGTATGTTTCATTTTTAATGGTCTTCTCTTTCAAGGCATATTGAATGGTGTTTACCATGGCAGCTACACCTTTTTCATTTGCTTTAGTTTCCCTATGGCTGAGACAAGATTACCAACTTTGTAAGCTTTATGCCCCTGAGCAAGAAAATAACAATCTTTTAACATGAAAAGTAGTAGGAGTATTAAAAAGTATCATGGAATGGTTTCAAGCTACGGCAGGGGAGATTCAGGCTGGACATCAGGAAGTATTACTTTTCAGAAAGGGTGGTCAGGCACTGGAATGGACTGCCCAGGGAGGTGGTGGAGTCACCGAGCCTGGGGGTGTTCAAGGAAAGGCTGGATGTTGTGTTGAGGGACATGGTTTAGTGGGAGCTATTGGGAATAGGTGAACGGTTGGACTGGATGATCTTTTAGGTCTTTTCCAACCTTGGTGATTCTATGATTCTATGATTTTTAAACCTTACCATATTAAGACATATTCAAATAGCACTGTTATCTTTGAATGCAGTGTGCTTTTACAATTGGCTCTGCCATTCATTTTCATCATCAGGTTTCAAGAACTATTAGAATTAAGATTAGCAGGGTGTGTGTGTGTGTGTGTGTGTGTGTGTGTGTGTGTGTGTGTAGACTACGTGTTGATTTCTGTACATCTGCTCTAATCAGAAATCTTTTTATATTAAGTGTTTACTTTGAGGTGAGCTATTTTTAAACAGCTTTTGCATGCAGTAAGGACTTATGTTTGGTAAATATTTATTGGGTTGTATTATATGATCGTAATGTTACTGAAACTATCAATTACAATTCTCTAAATGCAGAGCTAGTGGAGTAATCCTGCAAGGTTAATGGTGTTTTAGGAAAATGTTTGAAATCGCTCTGCTTTTTCTTTGCTAACGGTGCACATCCAGTTTAAGTGTGTCCATGTGTCAGAGGCACATGATGTACCTGTTACCTATTAGAATGTTTTCTAATATTCTAATTTTTGCCATGCCTTTCAAATTCCACTTAATACTTATTACTAACTTCAGGATTTCTTCCGTAAGGTTTAAAAATATTGCCATTTTCTCGTAGCAGAATTAAAACTAAAATTGTTCCTATTGTGTGTGTATATGAATTTAAAACATAATTGTAAAGCTAAAGTTCTATACTAGAAGTATGAGGTAAAGAGAATTTCAGTTTTGAAAGATTATCAATTACTAATTTTTCCTGCTGTTATCAACCCTTTCAAAGAGCTGATTCCCCTCCTGTTTGTAGGCGCCCTTTAGGTACTGAAAGGCTGCAATGAGGTCACCCTGCAGCCTTCTTTTCTCCAGGCTGAACAAACCCAGCTCCCTCAGCCTGTCTTTGTAGGGGAGGTGCTCCAGTCCCCTGATCATCTTCATGGCCCTCCTCTGGACCCTCTCCAACAGCTCCTGGTCTTTCGTGTACTGGGGGCTCCAGACCTGGACGCAGTACTCCAGATGGGGCCTCACAAGAGCAGAGTAGAGAGGGACAATCACCTCCCTGTCCCTGCTGCCACCCCTCTTCTGATGGAGCCCAGGATACCATTTGCTTTCCGAGCCTCAAGGGCACACTGCTGGCTCATGTTAAGTTTTTCATCTGTCAAGACCCCTGGGTCCTTCTCTGCAGGGCTGCTCTCAAAGACTGCTCCTTCCAGTCTGTGTGGATGCCTGGGATTCCTCTGGCCCAAGTGCAAAACTCTACACTTTGCCATGTTGAACTTCATGAGGTTCACCCGGGCCCACCTTTCCAGCCTGTTGAGGTTCCTCTGCATGGCATCCCTTCTTTCCACTGCGTCAACCACACCACTCAGCTTGGTGCCATCAGCAAACTTGCTGAGAGTGCGCTCGATTCCGTCACTGATGTCACTGATAAAGATGTTAAAGAGCACCAGTCCCAAGACAGACTCCTGGGGGATGCTGCTCGTTACTGGCCTCCACCTGGACGTAGAGCCACTGATGACCACCCTCTGTCTGCAGCCTTTCAACCAGTTTCATATCCATCGAGTGGTCCACCCATGAAATCCACGTTCCTCCAATTTGGAGATAATGATGTGGTGGGGGACCATGTCAAAGGCCTTGCTCAAGTCCAGATAAATGACGACAGTCCTCTATTGATTGGTGCAGCTTTTCCCCCTTCCAGTTTTACTGGAGGTTTCCTATTTTCTATAAGTAGTCAAAAGTAACCCTGAGAATGGAAGCGTGCCTTGCAGATTTTCTTACATTACTGGAAGGGTTAACTGTAACAAGTCCAGTCTATTGCAAAACAACTGATTTCTTTAAATAGTTTGTAGTATTTTTTTTCTTGTTCCAGCCTGAATGTACGCCTCTGTTGCTGCTCTCAGTCATGTCATCATTGCTTTTTACTGTTAGCACGCTTCTGCATCTATTTTAGAACAAGGAGAAAGAAATACTGATAGTTTGTCTGGCCAGTATATCTGAAGCAGAGTTTGACTCCATGGTTAAACACAGACGTGCCTGTCTTGTATGCATTTTGTGTCTTCAGATGCTTTCTGTGTTAAATAAATAACGTAAGATGTTTATGGGATTGGGCAGATAAAGGAAAAAATTGGTTAATATGTGATATATGTGATATTAACAGTACTGAAGTAATGGGTAACTTTGAATTGAGATAAATACAGAATGGAGTCTCTAATATTTGATGTTAATATATTTTGTAGTTAGTCTTTGAAAAAAAAACAAACACAAAAACTACGAAGATGTAATTGACAGGCCTGTGTTGTCAAAATGGTTTTGTTTTTCTTGTTTAAACAGCAAAGTAATCATTTTATTATTCATAATGATATTCAAAGTGCTACAGGGCAATCTTCCAGAGTTTCTTCAAATCTTTACCACTGCTATTCTTTCTCTAACCCTGTCCCTCAGGGTCTCTCCTAAGATTAGAGAATTGATTGGTGGGCTCTGTTTTTGTTTTTTTTTTTTATCATATGTAAATACTTCAAAGCTTTTCTTTGTTGTGTTTTTGAGGATGATATGAAAGGAAAAGTTAGAAGACAGATAAAGAGTGGATTTTGTTAGTTAATTAATTGTAGCTTTGGCTCAGTTAATATGAAAAATTAACTGTTATGCCTAGATCATTAAATAGTATTGCCAGTTTTCACTGTGGGTGTGCTAGGCAGGTATCTTCAGAGCTTTAGCATGAACTTTAGCAAATATCCAGACTTCTCAACTTGTTTATTCATTCTGATAGACTTAGCATAATGGTAGTTTCACTGTGTTATGAAATGTCTGGTAAGTATAATTGCAAAGTTATCTGGTTGAATGTGAACACAGAACAGAGTAACAAGAATTCGTTTTCAAAGAGCTCGGTGATGTAGCTAGGCTTTTTAATCATTGCTGCACTGGTAACATCTGATCTTCTTTTTGAAGTTTTGCCTTCTGCTCATTGACCTTCAGCTAGATCTTCTAGTGCTGCAAATGACTCAATGATGGTATTGCTCAGTCAGTAGTGTGGTCTTGTTCAGGATTTCTGTGGGGGATTACTCATGGCTCCCTGCTTTGCCCACTTTCCACTTCTGTTGTTTATTGCATTATTTTACCAGTTTCTAGATACTTTCTTCATACTTAACAGCCAGAATTCTGCTGTCCAAATCTGTCTATATTTGGTTTCATCTGCTGTAGTAAGTGTTGCATGTGGTACCTTCTCTTTTTTCTTTTCAAGATCTACTGTGCATATTCTTCCTTGTCTAAATCCTGATAATATTTAAAGTGTGTTAGATCATGACTTAGTTTTGTCAGTATTTCTGATGCTTGCTCTTACCCCTTTCTTCTTAGGAAAAAAAGAATGCCTCTCCTTTCAATTGTTCTCTTCTGTGAACCTAAAAGAATCCCCTCTTGGTTGCTATAGTCAGCTTGAATCAGTTTTTCCTCCCACTACTCTTGTTCCTTTAGTTATTTCAGTGCAGCTTTTTCACTGTTTATTTCCATCTCCAGCCAAAAAATCCCTGCACAGCTGCTTTATGTATTATCATGTTTTTGGCATCATCCTTGTAAGTTCTACAGCAGTGTAAGAATTATGCTATTATGTTTTTGGAGTCTAGCCATAAATGTAATTGTTTAAGCAGTTTTGTTGTCATATTGATTGTGTTCTTACCATGCTTTGCAACAGATATGTTTCACACCTAATCTTGCTTCTGGACAAACTATTTTTACTGCTACTTTGGCACTGTTTTATTGCCCAAATTTATTTTCGTTCTGTATGTCCAGGCTGATGGCTGCTTGTAGTACCTATTTGGCAACAAAATTACTATGCTAGAATCACAAGATAAGAAATGAGTTGAGAAATTAGTATTGTATCTTCTATCTTCTTTGCCTGATTTGAATTCTGGCTACTTTTGTTTTGTAGCATTTCTCATATGTTATAGCATGTGTGTAAGCAATAAGCATGATATGAATAATTAATGTAGAGCTAGAACTACTTTGGTTTTCATCTTCTGGTCTGGTTTTGACAAATAAACATCAGGGAGTGACCATCTGTGTGTCCATTTCTGCAGTGGCTTAGATGACTATGGTAGCTCTGAAAAATTCTTCATCCTGTGTTCCCTCTTCTATCTATCTGCTACGTAAACACCTGAATCTAGAGGTGTGGGGTTTTTTATCCCGTGCTGTGAATATTTCCAAGCTCTCTACAACGGAGCTGTATATAGGATAGAAGTTGTCCTGGAATGATAACTTAATGTTTAAAAAACATTTTGTTTTGTATTTTTTGGTTTGTATTTTATCTAAGCTATTCCCAGCTCACAGAAGCAGAAAAGCTCACACATGAATAACATTATTTTGATTTATCTCCTTATTTGGTTGTTGTCAGGTTAAAGAAACTATATCTAAGAGTGAAAAGTTGGTCTTTCAGTAGGCAGTTGGTCTAAAGGCTCTATGGGTGTTAAGGTGTGATAAGAAATTTGGTCTGTTTCTTTTTTTCTGAGGTAGATAATGATCTACACAATGAGAACTTACATGTTTGTCAATTGTGTTTAGGAGGTCTCCGCTGATCCCACAGGAACTCTCACAGCTGCTGAAGAGAGAAAGGAGAAGGTGCCAAGCCCACATCTCAGTCATCTAGTTGTTTTGACTTCTGGCAATTCACTCTATGGTTTGGCAGAGAGAGTGGTAGCCACGGAATCCTTGTAGGTTATTTACTGTACACCATTTTTTGAGATCAATGGAATTTTTAAGGAGTTGTGATTACAATTCAAAACCTTTTTAAAGAGGTCAAAAAATTTCTAGCCTTTAATGTGATTTTAAAAATGAGAAAGAGAGGTAATTTTTAATTAACAGTAGTAGGACATGACTGTTTGGTTTAACCACTTGCAAGCATAAACAATAAAACTTTCCTGCAGCTCCACCAGTAATTTGTGACATCACAAAGCCAAATCTAACAAAATAAGAGTTTAGTTTAAAGAGCTCAATGGGAGTTTTTAATCTGTATGTGTGTATGTATGTCTATATATACACATATATATATAACATTTTATTTTTTACATATCTATTTATATATTTCTATTAAAATACACATATATTATTTTACATATTTAAATCAGTATTCAGATGCTGATAGCTGAGACCCAGAACTGCTTAGTATGTATTGACTTGGCTGCATTCATGATGTTTTTGGCAACAGGTGGAAGTTTACCTGTGAAGAAGAGATAACAAGAGAGTAATGGAAAACTCTTATGAAGTTTTTTTTCAGTTGGTCATCAGAATAGTAGTAGAGTCATATGGGATTTCATTTTGTTTTCCACACAAGAGGACATTATTAAAGATTAATAATTCATTTTAAAATGTGTTTACAGAAGAGAATTAAAAGATTATTAAGTGATTATTAAAAAAAAAAATCATACCTGTAACAAAGAATTTGATCTCATGTTGTGTTTTTAAAAGTTTACTAGCAAACATGTAATCAGTAGTGTTGCTTTTGAATTCTGACACGATTTCTTTTAGTGTATACTGGCTTGCCACGAAGAAATTGTGGGACAGTTGTCCACTGGCTTTACTAGGCTTTGGATCAGAATTTTGCAGTATATCCTGATTAAAACAGAAAATTGAGTTCTGGTATTCAAACCTTTTTATTCATTTTGTTCACAATTGCATTTTCAAATTTTCATAATTGAGTATGCATGGTGATATGCTGGCCAAAAAATGATACAGTTCTTATCAGTATTAAATTTACCAAGGTTACATACCATTGTTGCCCAATAAATGTAGGTAAATAGAAGTATAGAGGCATTCCAAATGTTTAATTTAGTTCATAGAGAATTTTCTTTATTTTCAAAGGGTATTTCTGGCCGAGCAGTTTGAGTGTCTTCAGCCCCACCTTGATGCAGTGATGCCAGCTGCAAAGAAGCCTTTTCTTCAGCAGTTCTATTCTCAGGTCAGAATTGTGTAATTCAGAGCTAATTTTTTAATGCAGTATTTGAAACTTGTACTATATGATGGAAATATTTTAAACCATAGTTTTGTATTGCTCTTACTAGCCTGAAATTTACTGAATTGAATTTTTTTATTCTATTTCAGACTGTGTCAACTGCCAATGAGCTACGCAAACCAGTTTATTGGATTGTTGCTGCTAAAGCTATTGATTATGAACAGATGCTGCTTCTCATGGCTAATGTAAAATGGGATGTAAAGGAAATCATGTCACAACACAATATATATGTAGACTCTCTTTTAAAGGTGAATAGTTTAGGAGAAACAGTGTGCTAGAGTACATATAAGCATTAAACTACTGCATACATCGCTAAAACTGTTAAGGCAGCATGATTACAGCAATATAACATCCTGAAAAATATTAAGTTGTCATAAGGAGATCTGTCCAAAATTTTCATTGTTCTTGCTACTAGCAGAAATAACTACAGAGTCTTTACTGGAGTGACTATGTGCTGGTTAAAGCACAGCACTGTGGTACTCTGCTTCCTCTTGCTCAATTCCTCTTTCAGAAAATTTGTGTTAAATACCAGTTATTTGGTCAGAAACTTGCTTAAAATGGTCACTGAAATCACCAACTTAGTGGTTATTCTCTTGTTTGTTTGCTAGGAAAAACAAACAACCACAAAACTATGAGATTCTAGCATTGGAACGAAAGCACTTGGTTGGACAAGTGTGGCCTTCATAGTCTGCAGTACAAACTCTGATGGTTACACAAAGTTCATTGTCAAGGTCTCCTTTATGTTTGAGTTGTTTGATATCTTTTTAAAAGTGATAGAGGCATTAGTTCCTGGCAGCCGACTTCAATTTGCATTGCAGTATACTGCTGAACTGTTTGATTTGGTTTGTTTTTTAGAGGGTGCTTTCAGCTCTTACTGAAGCACCTGGGAATTTTTTGATGCAAAAGGCTGAAGAATGAAAACCGATTGCAATATTTTTGAGGTTTTCCCTGAAGACTGATGGGGCAGGTTTTTAGATGGATAAAAGCTTATCACTGGATTTTCTTCAGTGTCTGTATATTGGCTTTCCAAAAGTTAAAGATGAGTTTAGGGAGTGAGGCAATGAGAACATTTTTTTCCTATTTTAGTGTGTGTATGTGGTTCATTTTTTCCTTATTTATTTATTGCTAGGCATTTGTAGAGTATGATGTTTTAAATGCTAATGGAATTATGATCTTACGTGTTTTATCAGGAATTTGAAGAATTTAACAGAAGGTTGAATGAGGTATCTAAGAGAGTCCGTATTCCACTAATAGTCTCAAATATACTTTGGGAGCACTGCATGCGCTTGGCCAATAGAACTCTTGTGGAAGGGTAAGTAGCTCATGAAAGTCTTGGTCTTGAGTAAGTATGTCTGTAATGATAATGCTTATGTCATGGTATTAAAGTTTCTAATTTTTGTAGTGCATTGGTAAGCTGTTGAGTTTTTGAGGATGAAGTCTAATTGTCAACATCTCAATGAGATGATGGCATTTATCTTTTCCAGGAAGTAAGACAATTGCTAGGAACAGAAGTTGTTAACTTTAGCAGTTACTTTAGGGTAGCCGTGGGGCAGAAGTTTTCTAACTTCATTGGGAGCAAAGAGGAGTCCTAGTTGACTTGGCTAAATACAAACTGAAATACTTAGCCAGCAGCTTAGCTTAGCTTATTCCTAACTTGCCACCAGTTTCCCAGTCTTTTTAGAGTTGGTGTTGTAGTCTTTTCGTTCACTACTTGTCTGTGCTGTCATCTTCTGCATCATAGAGTATGTTCTGTATTCCACTCTTTTTACTCAATGTTTCCATATTTTTTCCTGTGTACGTGGGGTCCTCAATTACAGCAGAGTATGGAAGAATGAGATGGGGAAAAAGTGCAACAGGTAGACACAGGGTAAACAATTATATTGCTCCTTGGGGTTTGAAGGACTAAATTAAACAACTTTGAGAAGTAAGATTCATTTTTATTTATTTATTTATATTTATTGTTAGTTTCTACTGTGTTTCTTTTTTCAGTTATGCTAATGTGAAGAAATGCAGCAATGAAGGACGTGCCTTGATGCAACTGGACTTTCAACAATTCTTAATGAAACTAGAAAAGCTAACAGACATTAGGCCTATTCCAGATAAAGAATTTGTGGAGACCTACATTAAAGCCTACTACTTAACAGAAAATGACATGGAGCGCTGGATAAAGGAACACAGGGTAAGAGTTAAATTTTAAATTTTTTTGCTGTATTTTAGGAGGATTCCCAAGAATGGTGGAATTATGCTAACAACTCTTAGTGATTAATTCTGTGTGCTAAAAATGATCATACTCATATGTGTATTCATTTGTTATAATCAAATCGTATGGTGTGCAGTATAAACATATATATGTGTGTAGATATATGTTTATTATCATATGAAAGTACCTTGATTTAGAAGGAATAATTTTGACAATAGGAAAATCTAGATTTATTTACCTTTTCTACCAATTGCCATTCCATATCTCTTAAGATGATAGAATTCATCTCAGGAAGATGTGCTATGAATGGTAGTTTCTGGCTTTAGCAAAGGTAGGCCATCCGATACTCCTTACACAAGAAATTCCATGTAGGAATTACTGCTAATCTACCTGGTATTCTGAGATGGGTTGAAGCCAAATAAAACTTTTTTCTACTCCTTAAGCAGCACCTCTGGTTCAGTACAGGCAAAAGAAGCAAATGGATCCCAGGCATCTGAGTCCTATATACTCTGTAAAATCTGTTTCATAGTCTCAGCAATGACCCAGACTTCTGTGTAAATCAATTCTGAGATTAGAACAGCAGTGAGGGAAAAGAAATGCCTGTGTTGGTATGTACATCTGATAAAAATATTGATTTGATAGTCTTTGTTGTCAGGAAAATTATGTGCTGAAAATAAATTTTAGATCTGACAGATCATAGCTATGCAGTGCTGTAGGGAGCATCTGCCCAATCTACTAATAGTACTGCATTACAGGCCAGTGTTGCACTGGAGGGGGGGTGGAGAGGCTCAGTAGCCCAATAAATGTTCTGTTTTTTTACTGTGTTGTTTTTTTTTGTTTGGTTGCTTTTTTTAACTATGAGAATGTAAGATTTCTTCAGAATGCACCTATCTGTTATTTTCAGACATTGGTTTTGATTCTGAAGATACTTTTGTTGTAGGTAGTTGATCATTTACAATTTTGAGAGTTAATTGAAGTCATTTATCAACCTGTTCTTCAGACGCTATCCCTGTAAAAGTTGCTCTTTTATGCAATTGAATTAACAAGGCAAAATCACCAGGGAGTAGGCATAATCCCTTTTTGGTTTGAACTCTATGTAAGTGTATGTATTATGGTTGGAAATTATTGGTGCATTATAGATGAAGATAGTACGATGTGATTTGAGTAGAAAGTTTTCATAAGATAATCAAGAATCTTACCATAACTGCACCCTACCGTATCAAGAAGTTTGCCACTTGGGCTGGGCTGTTCTGGTTGATTACTGTACTTCTGATACCAGGACGTTTTTAAATGTGTATGAGTGGGATGATCATAGGTACACCAAATGCTTCTAGGAATGGGTTTAAGAAAATGATCTGATGTATTTGGGCCAAATTTCCTCTGGTTAACTTCCGTCCTTTAGTAAAGCTGAGAATACTTGTTTTCTGTCCAGAATATACCAAAGTGAATAAACTCATCATTAAGAAGGACAATTTGAAATTAGGCCTTTAGAAGTGGGCAACTCAAACAAAGTTGTAAGGCAGAATGCATAATAGTCATTGCTTTTTCTTTCTTTGACAAATAAAACTGAATCAGGATCAACTTTGCTATCTGAGATAAGACTTCATTTGTGTTTTCAAAGCATTTAGCATGCTTTCAGAGCAGCGTAACCTAATAATTATAAGACTATAAGCAATTGTCATGCTGTCAGCTGGTCCACTGTCAAAATAAGAAGTCTTTTAAAATGGAGCATTGGGAAATCTGTATTTTGGAATTATTTTAAACCCAGCTAGAAAGGGATGAAAAACATTGTTCTGAAATACAGTTTTCCCTGTTATACCTGGAGCTGTGAGAGAGACTGTGAGCTGTGTTTGGTGATCTACATGGAAAAGCTAGTTTAAATCTTTGAAAATGCTAAGGGTGAAGGTAGTACTGGTGAATGTGGGTTTTGACAGGTGTTAAGAATTCTTGTAATATTTTGTGTCATTCTTTCCTCCTTTGTCATGTACTGAAGTTAATGTTGCTTGAAGGCCCTGTAGACAGAACTATTTAAAAGCTTATCAGAAATATGATGCCAAAATAAAAAAAATCAAGTTTTGTCACAGTTGTTAGGAAAATGTGGTGTTTAAAACTTATTTCATTTGCATGTGTATCTCTCACCACACCTCCAAAAGAATGGAAAATGCATTATCAATTGATTTAGATATGTAACTATTACTTTGTGAACTCAATCCAATACTACTAAAATTGTGGGCATTTTCCATTATATTCTGCCAGGCAGCAAAATACAGTTTTGTACTTCTCTCTCTCCAGACCTGACTTAACTAATGCTTTGAGTCTCTCTTGTTTCCTGATTGCTGCTATCATTTGAAAAGCCCACAGAGTGTGCATATCTGGTTTTTAGTTTTCAGTCTTTGTCCACTGTTCTTATTCTGCTTGCCATAACATAATCTGCTTTTATTTGCCAGGAATATTCCACTAAGCACCTGACAAATCTGGTGAATGTTTGTCTGGGGTCTCACATCAACAAGAAGGCAAGACAGAAGCTGCTAGCTGCTATTGATGACATAGATAGGCCTAAAAGATAACTGGAGAGAGTTACTTTCCGTTTACTCTTGTACCTTCTTCTGTTCACGTGAAGCATGCAGACGAATGACAAATGGACTAACGACAGCACTGTCTTAAAAACCATTGTGCATGACTTTTCTTATCAGCATTGGAGACACTCTGAATTGGCATAATGTTCTAAAATACTACTTTTTTAACCTGTAAGAATCCTTTTCTTATGTATTTTTCTGTTTTTTGTTATTTGCCCTTAGTAAAGGGCCGCTCTTTGTGTATCATTGGTGAAGTGTATATTTTGAAAAACTGTATACTGTAAGTAAAACCAAAATCAGAGAGAAACACATTGGCTTAATATATAGTTGATGCTCTTTTTTAAAAGGGCTATTTGAAAATATGACGTTTTCCTCACTGCTTTTCCCCTCAGAACTTGTGCTTTATTATGGACCAGTGTAAAATGAAAGAAAATGTACATCTTTGAACAACATATCTTGCATGTGGATTAAGAATATAGATCAATTAAAAATTCTCATGTTGATGTATTTCATCTTTATATGTATTTAAAAATGTTTATTTCAGAATTAATATAGTCATATCAAAATTATTGACTTCAGATCAGTCGAAGTAATAAATACTGTACACTAAAACGAGTTATTTGTGGGACTTTTTTTTACCTCATTTAGCAATGCAAAATGACATGTGTTATAAAAATATGTGTTGTTACTCTCATGTCACTTCTCTTTTGTACCCCTACCACTCTTTCCTGTTTCCAAAGCAGTAATGCCAGAGAATAATGGAATTTTTTTTGGCTGAATTTTTGGATGGATAATCTTAGTATTTTCTGCTCTGCTATAGACTCCTAGAGTGATCCTGAGCATGTCAAAATCCCCTGGCTGGGTATTTGTCCTAGAAATTGATTTGTCAGAGCATCATTGACCACTGAGGCTTTCAAATTTGCCTTCAGCAGAAGAACCTGTGTTCTGAATACATTTCTACTTTCCTTGCAATGTTCCTTGTAGATGAGTTGCTTGGGGACTGCTCAAACTGTCATAGCAAAACAGGAAAATTCTCAAGGTGATCTGAATTAACTTAAATAAAGGCTTTAATATTCATTAAGATTTTTCTTATACTCTCAAGCTCTGTTCCAAGTCTTTGCTTTTCAGTATATAATGTTTTAAATATTAAAAAATTATTTTGTAATAAACATTTTTCTAATCTGAGGCCCTTTAAAAGGCAATATGCTAGCAATGAGCTAACAGATAAAATAATTTACGTAGGATACAATCCACTAATGTAAATGACATGATAAAACTCTCATTTTCAATACTTCCCATTGCACTGTTTAATTAAAACACAAGAGAATCAGCACTTACTGAAAGTCAGCAGTACCAATGGACTGGAAATTGCCTCATGGAATCAGATAATTGTTCTTTTCTGTAGGTTAGTTTCATCTTCAGAAGTGATGAATTCTGAGCATCATTGTGCAGTTTCCTTGAAAAGCCTCTATCTGGTTTTAGAGCAGTAGAATTTACATTTTTAACTACTGACTGTGTAGCATTCATCTCCCTGTTCATCTGTATTTTAATAGGATTTAAAACAAAGTTAAGCACCATTCTGTATAGACCATGCTGTCATTCTGAGTTCTATTGAAAACTTGTTCAGCAGAGTGCCTATGTATGCAGTGAAGCTCAATCACTTTTACCCTCATTAAAAAGGTGGTTAAAAAAAAAAAAAAAAGGAAAAGTGTAGTTCATTTTAAGTGAGGACTTCTGCGTCAGTGCATCTGCCCTGAAGTCAGATCCTGAACAAGAGCTCTTGGAAGAAATAGAAATGTGTCAGAGACTGTTAGTGTAAAATCTGTTCCAATTTCCTTCTCGTGGCTGAAAGAAGGAATTTAAATAACTTTCTCCTGAAGTATTTGGGTTGCTGTAATTTGTTTGCTCATCAAAAGGTAGGAGTGCAAGCTCTGATTGGGATGTAGGGTCAAGGAGGAGGAAAGAGCAATTGCACAAGTCCTAGTAAGGAGCAATTTTTGATAACGTATCTATAGATTGGCTCATTTTAAGCCCCAAATAATAGAATGAGCAATGTTAAACTTGTGAAACAATTTTTTGATCATCTTTCATATGTGCCTCAGAATTTATTATGTTCTCTAGAGCAATCCCCACTTGCTGCCCAATATTGATGCTAAGGGATAAGCTACATACAGCTTAAAAGCTTTCACATTTCTCAGTCCTTAGTGACTTAATGAATCTGAGTTTCGGCTAAATGTAAAATTATTAATTTGCTATGTGTTTGCTTTTAGCTGTCACAACCTAAAATGACAGTTCTTTTTGCAGACCATTTGATTTTTTGGCATCTCTGTGAAATAAGAAGTTTTACGACTTTTCATGAGAGCATAGTTTAAAATGTCCCTTTGTACATCGCAGAAGGGCTTCAGAATACTTTAATAATGGAGGATGACTCCTTTCAGTCTCCAGGAAGGCTGACCAGCACTGCAGAGGTGGTCAATTCATCTGTCAATGAAAAACTTAAATCCTGTTCCTCAGACAGTGAGTATTCCGATATTCACCAAGGTCACCTGGAGCAGAGATGAGGAGTTTTCAAGACTCTGGATAGGCAAAGCCTGATAACTGTAGACAGCTGTAAGCCTGGCATCTCAGTTGCAGCCAGTGGTTATGAAGTTGTCTGATGAGCAGCAACTGGGATAAAAATAGTGGGAAACTGACTGGTCCGCTTCTGTGACCTTGTGGGAGGCTCAAGTTCTTGCTCCAGTGTAGGTTTTATTATTCAAAGCAGAATGGCGTTGACAGGAAGAACCATCTTGGACCAGCAGTGGTTCAGCTGGTGGGTTGGTGTGATGAGCAGCACCTGCGATGTGTGAATTCCAGTGAATGTGAGTTAAGGGCTTGTTTTCGCCTCCTCCCTTTTAGACAAGCAGCTAAATTTCCAGGTAATGGACTATTTTGGGGTCCTTTCTTCCCGTGACAGAGGGAGTCTTTCCATATGTAAAATAAAAGGCCTGGCTTGCTTCAGATCTGTTTAGTGAAGCCTAAATGTGAGGTGTAAGTCAGCTTCTGACTGCTTTTTAACGTTTCCCTTTTTGGAGAAAAAGGGAAGCAGGATCAGTGGCTGTCTCAAAGCTTTCTGTGAAAGTTCGGCTTTGCCTTGCAGCTTACACAGATGTGAATGACAAAGGCACATCTCATGATAGCAAAGATAGGGTTTATTTACTGCAGGATGTCTGTGGATATGCGTTGTGCCTGTCTTAATGCTATGGGGCACAGCTATAAATATTCCCTCCTCATCCTGCAAAGGTGCTGTGTTGAGGTCATTCTCCCTTGACCCTCTGCTCATGGTTAATGTTTATGAAATTTCTATGTTGCAAGCTGTGCTTTGATAACAAGAAATTAGAATAAAACCAGTAAAAAAAAAAAAGATCCCTCCACCCCAGAAATAACCAGAAGATTAAATTGATAAATAGTGCTGTCCCCAGCTAAATCCTCAAAAAAACTGAATGTCAGCAGGCACCTGCTATGTTATAAATGATGCAAACAGAGATGGATAAAAAATGCCGATTTATTGTGTGTGGGTGATAGTATCTATGTTATTTATAACCACAGCTCGAAACAGCATAGCGTGAAAGCTAAACACTGTGCTAGACACTATGATTATGGAACAAGTGTGGAGATAACATAGTTTGCAAACTGCAGAGTTTCCATGCTTACTGGCTATTTAAGGACATTTCTGAATGTCTTGGTTTTGTAGAGCCAGAGCTGCTTTGCATCACGGCAGGGACTCTATTTTTCAGTATCTCCTCCTTGAGATCCGAGCGTGAGTTGAAGCAGCATCTTTCAACTGAACTGAAGACCTGGCAAATCTGTATTTTTTTCAGACCTGATGGGTCTGAAGTTTTGGTCTGATTGCATATGTGAAAGGAAAAACAACATTCAGAGCAAAGAATTACTGATCCACATCATATATTTGTAGATGAATTTGCATTGGTTTCAATGTTGCTGGATTTAAAGCTGGCAAACTACTATCTAAATGTGAGTTGATCTTCGAAAAGTAAAATGTGTAAACAAGCTGGAGATCCAGGAGAAAAGACGCAGTGAAGTGCCTCCTTCAGCTGTGCACAAAATTAATACAAGATCAGAAATGCAAAAGGACTTGGCATTTCTGAAGATTTTTTTGTAAGTAAATCAAAAGCTCTTAGTTGTGTGCATCTCTTGCACAGTATAGCTTGGTGGGCGTGGTGGTGGGTTGGCAGTTGGACTAGATTATCTTAGAGGTCTTTTCCAACCTTAATGATTCTATGGATACATGATTTTATGATCTCCTGGCTCATAAATAAAACTCAATACTTTGCTTATGTTTCATTAAAAAATAGAATAAACATGTCAGCTCAGCCATAAGTGAAACAAATCCTTGTACAGGGATCTGATTAATGTTTATAAATATCTGAAGGAAGGAGGGTGGCAATGGTCATGAGGCCATGCTCTTCTCAGTGATGCATAGTGATAGGACAAGGAGCAGTGACCTAAAATTTGAACATAGGAAGTTCTGTACAACAATTTGAAAGAAGTTCTTTATGTTAAGAGTGATGGAGCACTGGAACAAGCTGCACAGAGAGGTGGTGGAAGGCATATCTCCTTCTATGGAGATATTCAAGACCTGGCTGGATGCCTATCTGTGTGACTTCAGTAGATCACAGAATCACCAAAGTTGGAGAAGACCTCCGAGATCATCTATTCCAACTAATTAGTGGTTTCTCTCCATTATTTACATTCATAACAGCCAGTGATGCCTGGGCAGCCCTGTCCTTAAGCAGAGATGGTGGGTAGGGGGGCTTGTTGTCCTTGCTGCTGTGGGGCATACTGCTCCGAATGCATGGGCATACTGCATCTTGTGCTCACAGGATGGGTCGAATCAATCCAGAAGGCATATGAAAGCATGGTGAGCGCACCATTTGTTCCTGTGCAGCTCTCTATTCTGCAACATGGAACCTCAATGAATGCAAGAACTGCCATTGCCTGACATGGTTATTAGTGCAGTGCTAAGCATCAGTGCATTTTTCATGAGCATATATTTCTTGAAGCTCAGGAAGATGTCATTGATGTAAATGAGTTTGACCAGGAGCTGCTTCATGGCTCTGAGCTGCCAACATCCATCTCTTGCAGAGCTGCTGGAATATTCAAGCAGCCAAATGATCCAACCAGCTGAACATTTGGGCTGTTTTACTTTTCAGCTAGACTAAATTGTTGCTGTGAATAGCAATGCCTCATAGCTACAATGCTGTTAGTCCCTGTTCTCCCGTGCACACATGATGTACTGGTGTGTCTATGCAATTCAACAGGGCTCTTGATTCAGGAAGCCTGCCACAGCCTTGTGCTAGGAATGAATGAGATCCATTTGCTTTCACTGAGATACTCACTGCTGCATTGTTTTACTTGGAATATCCTCAACAAGGTGCAGGGCTCTGGGCAGTTCTGCCAGTTTGCACAAAGGGAATTTCTGCTGAGAAGGGGAAGGAGGTCCTCATGGACTGCACACAGAGTGATGCCTCGAGATGCTGTGCCACAGTGTCTCAGTCATGGACTTATTCAGGCTGGGATTTACTTTCTGCTCTGGCACCAGACATAGGGAA